TGACAACCAATAAAGCCTAAAACAATCCATTTAAAACAACATGGTATCATTGTTCAACTTTGTCCTGCAAGCAAAGAAGTTGACCCAGCTGGGGAGTTTCCATCTCCCCTATCAGTTCTCCTAGACTTTGGTTTCTGTGTATGTGTGTGTTAGAGGGAGAAAGAACAAACCATTAGTGCCTCCTCCATGGTAACAGTACAAGTGATAGTGCAGTGAAGTGGGGACTTTTGATCGGCATGCACTAACATGCTGGTTATTGATATGAATCCATAGTTTATTTTTAACAATGGTTTAATTTGATGTTCAGACCAGGCCACTGTAAGTTCTTTATTAAAAAGTAGGTTTAAAAAAGAAGAAGAAAGAAATAGAACTTTTGATATGCTGTATTTAAAGAAGGCAACATAGATAGTATCTTTGGCTACCTAACTATTAAGCCATCCCTTAAGAGACCTATTTTTCTCCAGATGGTAAGCGCAAAATGACTACTCTTCCCAATGCATTTCCCTTGTGATCTATAACCATCAAAGTTACCTCTGACTCATTTTGTTGATTCCATCACCAAAACCAACATCAGCCGGTCACTTAAAATAAATTTATAAAAGTGTTCAAGGTTCACTCATTGCTGAATCAGGCTATGTTTACAGAACAGGAAACTTTAAAAAATAAATTTGCCTCCATAATTCTACGGAACAAGAACCTAATCGAAAGCAGCCTTACAGCTGGGTGTGTTGCCTGCTTGCCAAGTTCATATTGGCAACAGCTCCTAATAAAATATAAATGCAGTGGTTATCTTTTGTTAGCATGGGAAAGAGACATATCTGAAAGAGGAGCAGCTAGTCACAAAAGTCTTTTAAAACGAATCTGAAATACAGACAGAGCTGGCTCAAGTTACTTTTCTGCTTGAGAATCAAATCCCTTCAGAACAAACATCTGCCTAAACATCAGGAAGAATGGATGATTTAGTTGATATTTCTGCATTGCAGGGGGTTAGACTAGATGACCATTGGAGTCCCTTCCAACTCTACAATTCTATGGTTTTTGTGACAAGATGGTGCCCCCATCTTGGGAGAAGAGTGATATTACATCCACATTTTTCTCTAATATCTGTGGCATAGGTTGAGTACATGTAATTTTCTACATGAAGTCCATTTTCTGCCATTTCTCAGATGATGCGGATTGCATGCATTGAAATGACTTTTATGGGGAAAGTGCTTCACCAGCCATGGCAGAGTGCTGCAACAGTGTTGTCAAGTTGATAAATGACTGAAAAAAGGCTTCTTGCAGAGAATCAAATCCCTTCAGAACAGTCCCTTCATTGCCTCATCTCTCTCTTTCTCTTCCTACAGTTGTCTATGAGCATCTGAAAACATCTGGTTCAGCTCTTATTACAAATTCAACTGCACTGAGCACAAAAAGAACTAAGCAGTTCTTAGCTGCTTGGGTTGCTCACGTTCTTGCATTGTGGACTGGATTTTCCCTTTTAATACAAAGGGAAAATAGGCTCCACAGAACGTTATGAAGTAGGTTATATAAAGTTCATAAGATGAAGAAAGCAGCTGTTGCTTTCAGGCTTCTAAGAGCAACTGTTTCAAACAACTATAGATGCATAGAGAGGCTAGAGAGATGTTATAGGAACTAAAATGCCATGAGACCTAAACCACATGCTTAGTCAGTCCATCAGGTTAGCTTTGGGGGATCCTGGCTTCATGAACAATGGAAATCCTCTGTCCCCACCCCCACCCCAACACACACACTCATTGTGACTATATAGCTTCATTTACAGTTGTGCACTGCAAAATTCTTCCCTTCTTTAATGCCTTCTCAGGTTGAGCTCCACCAGCAAGTATCATAGATGCAAGATACATGTCACACTTGCTGGCCATATTCACACCAGAGCTACAGTTCTCAGTTGTTGCTGACATCCGTCTGTGTCAGGAGACATCGGAGAAGTGTGCCTTTAGGGGTGAAGTCAAACTGTTGGAAGGTTGCAATGCCTGCTGTGGTTGTAGAGACTGATACAGGAGATGTTTCGTTGCAGCTGGGGTAGATGAAGGCATCCGGTTTTGCTGATGCAGATGCAACATGGGATTTGTGCTCCTCCCAGTGGCCATTCTTCCTCTGGTCACTGTTATAGATGATCAATGCAAGGGATTCCCACATGGCAAGGTTGATATTGCCAGTCTTCATGTCATGTTTGCAGACATCTTTGCAGCATGGAGTTGGTCTGCCAACAGGCCTGGTTCCTTTGGCAAGACAGGTACAGCTAAGGCTCACCTCTCCAAAAGGGTATGGGAGAATATGATGCTAACAACCAATACCAAGATGAAGGTCTACCAGGTTTGCATGTTGAGGTTGTCTCCTCCTCCTCTGCGAGGTCTGCCAAGGTGCTTTGGTGCATCGCTTTGAGATTGCTAGTGTGCCTTCCTGGAAGGCACCTTGGCGATTGTCAAAGGGACATGCCAGGGCGGAGGTGCGACCCGTTGACAATTGCCAAAGCGATCCCAGAAAGTGCTCTGGTGCTTGTCAGCAGGATTGGGCTGACTCACACCAGGGTGCCAGTCTTAATTGGGACATTCCAAGATTGGTTTCTGTTATTCGGGATGTCCCACTGAAAACTGGACAGTTGAAGGAGTATGGATTTGGGAAATAGTGATGAATTAAGTAGTCATTTTTCAACAAAAACACTTGACTTGATGATCTTATTTACAATTAAATAAATGTTTTTTTTTAAAGCTGCAGTCCTATGACTTTTCTTTGGATGTAAGTAAGTTCTGGCTTTCTTTTGAGTAAGCATAAGATTGAGTTCTTAGAATAAAATGCAGAACAAGCTCTAAACTTAGTATGTATAAATTGACATAGGCTATTGAGGCCAAAACAAATTTTGTAATCTCTTCAACGTTCTAAGCCAACTTAAAACATTTGATTGAGGCTCAAACTGTGTTGTGCCCTGACAGCTAAACAAACATGCAGTTCTATATCGCTAAAAGGCTTATTGGCAGAAACAGAACAATGCGTAGGCTGATGTGTCAGGAGAGCTTTCTGACAGAAAGCATGCTTTAAATACCCTGTTAGCAAAGTAGTTGAACTCTGTGACATGTCAAAAACATGAAGAAGTTCAAGAGGGAAAGATGTGAGAACAAGCCTTTGGGAAACTACTTTAGCTTATGTAGAATTATTTGGGGCAAGGGGGTTGAAAAATAAATCACTTGAGGAAGAATAAAGTTAGAAATATGACTGGAAATACATACATTGTTTAAAGGGGATGAAAAGAAGACAACTAAAGTCTTGTGTTTCTTTTCTTTTTCAGTAGAAGCAAGCTATTTTTATCATTATACAATGCCTAGTTTCTGTAGATTCAGATATGGTAGATTCCCTACTACTATGGATAATAATAATAATAATAATAATAATAATAATAAATAAAAAAATCATAGCATATTTAGAGGGAGATCTTATCTCAGATATTCACTGGGTCTACTAGCAGAGGACCTATCTTTTATAGTTAATCATTAATAAACAGGACATTTTTGACGTGAACATTCAGCCATAATTTAATGCAGCCTCTAACTTGGCAAGATTCCCAAATCAGCAGATGTTTCTCCTTTATATAGCACTAACAGGGTGTGACTGGCAATGCTCGGGAATTTTCAGAACCCCCCCCCCAAAAAATGTGATTTTAGAATGCATAGTGTAATTTGTGAGTTTGTGCCCATCATGCCAAAAATTGAGTGAAGTCACACCAAAGTCATGCTTGAGCTCACCATCTTGATTCAAAATGGTACCTGGCATCCAAACATCAATGAAACACCGCCAACCCCACTGGCAGCTCTTAGGGCATCAAATTTCAGCAGCGCCCTGAGTGACACCCTCCACCTCTTGCGCTCCATTCTAAATCATATTTTCAGCATCCCCAGTAGTGTCCCCAAGGCTCTGTGCCCAGTGTGACTGAACTAAATCCACCTCTGCCTCACCTCAGAAAACCTTGTGATGAGTTTGGAAATGATAGATTGGGAGGTGACCAAGCCTGTGCCAAAAAAACCAGGTGAAGTCACACCAAAGTTATGGTTTGGTTGCCATATTGAATCAAAATTATGCCCGGAATCCAAATATTGATTAAGACTGCTGTCTCCACCTTAGGAACCCTTGTGCCAAATTTGGTGATGATATCTCAAGAGATGACTGAACCTGTTTCTCAAAACCAAAGCATAGGGTTACATTGTGCAATGCAGGCCTAAAATAGGAAAATAGACAGTCACTGTAGTAGAATCGTAACAAATTCCAGCTCAGATAGAAAATAATAACAAAAATTATCTGGGAATGAAACTGGATTATGGTTTCTTCTGATAGAAGCTTGTGAGTTATGATGACAGTACCCATAAATATCTTGCTTGACCTATCCCTATCACATTGTCAACAAAAATGCCTTTTGATGCACACGGAGTAAGTTTATATTCTCCTTTGTCTTCAGCCCCCATTTCCTCCACAGTGTAATGCACAGGTGAGAAAGAAAGACAATCCTTGTTCTCATAAGAGTTCACAACTCAGTAGCCAGATAGTTTTGACAGTTGTGATGCAGGGGAGGAGGTAACAAATCAACATTAAATAGAAAAGAAGCATGATCTGCTACCACATTTCCAGTCTATGTCCTATAAATTGGACTATAGAAATTGTCCATAATGTAGACAATGAATCTGACACTATCATATGAATTGCTGCCAAGACCAAAATACTTGTTGTCTTTGTTCCGAATGATTTGCAACTGCAACATGTTCTCTGATTTATTTCCAAGATTTATGTGGCAGCAGTCATCATCTATTTAAGATGAAAGAAACAGGAAGGAGGGTGGTGGTGGAAGTATTTGTAAGATAGATCCTGAACTCAAACTTTACTCAAACAGAATATGAAAGAGAAATGGGAGGGGAAAGATGATTTGCTTGTTGTCTTCAACACTCAGAGTAGAGAAACTATTTGTTTAGAATCATAGAGCCACAGGAATCCTTTACCCAAAGTAGGGCTTGAACCCACGACCTGGGATTAAGAGTCTCATGCACTACCAACTGAACATTGATTGCCTTCTGCTTTCACAAAAAGACACATGCCTCCTAGTTGCTACTGATTTTGTTTGGATGATTATTTTTTTTAGCTTTTAGTTTGTATTTGCTTAAAACTGAGGTGAAAACAACATTAAGTGTCATGGGAAATTCAATGACATTGTGGCACAATAAGCATCTTATTAAGGTCTTGTGGCAGGAGGGTGTTCTAGAGCAAGCACACTTACCCCCAGTCTCCTTTTCATTACCCAAATGTTATTGGGTAATATGATACATATAATATGCCATTTCTATGAAAATGTGGATCCCACTCTGTTTTTGCTTCCTCTTTTCTGTGGCTGTGTAAGTGGTCACCCTATGACATGGGAAGGGCATGGTTTTACATAGGTGTAAAATGCACCCCCAGATTGTTTCATGCAGTCCCCCAATATCTGGACAGGATAACTGCAGGATAACTGTCTGAGGGTTTTTTGCATAGCTCTCAGCCGTCAGAGCATGGCTATTGCCTGAATTTACGTGGCATAGTGAGTGTGTCTTGGAAGCAAAGTACGTGAAGGAATGTATTCCATTGGCAGTAATTCTATCTCTGCTCCCTGTGAGTAAGAGTCAGTCTGTGTTGGTGACATAAATTTCCACACAGAACATTTTTGTTAGTTTTGGAAGTAAATGAAAGGCTGCTTATTCCATTCCATTCTTCCACCTTGAAGGTTAATCCAGATTTTAAAGAGATGTGTGAGGTTAAAAAATAGAAGCAAAAAGTTTGCACTTAAAAAACAATTGTCCTCCCCATTCCTGTGGGTTTTCTTGCTTCTTTTTGTGTACACCCAGCTATGAAGCATTAGTCAAAATGTGATGTTTTGTAAATGGCTAATCTTGTCTTTTCATGTCAGACCCTTAATTTATCAGCATATTTTCTGTTTTTCTCTGACAGAGAAGAATACCAGAGCTTTCACTTTAGATTGTGGGGCACCGTTGTATGGGAGTGGGTAGTATCCTTGCTGTTATTACTGTTGTTCTTTAAGGGCTATATGGACTGCTTGAAGTGCTAAAGAAACAAACAAAAGAAACTTCACTGTGGGCCAAGGCAGGCCATCAAGACCCAAGCTAGACACAGTGCCATTTATGCAACTAGCAGTTGTTTGAATGGCTTTGATTGCAGGTTTGAAGCTTTAAACAAAATGTTCTAAATGAATTGAAGGCATTTGGGGGGCTTTAAGGAAAATGAAAAAGACGGCTGCACATGGGAACAGGTTCCCAACACATTTTGAGAGAGAGATTTTTATTGAGGAGAATGCCCTTCGGTGCTTTCTTAAAAGAGCAGTAAAGACTACTGCTCAGCTTGTAACTCAGCTAACTTCCATCTCACCTAGCATATATGCACCATGGGCAATGGCAGCTCAAGATTGACTCTGGTTCATCTTGCCACATCCCTTATGGAATTCCATTACGAGAGAGGCCAAAAAGCCCTGCAGGCCGGGCATTTATCCTTGCCCCAGGCACAGTGCCAAGCACCGCTACTGGTCAGTTGGCACTGCACCCAGTGAAACGCTCCCTAAATTTCTGCTGCCATTGGCCAATTCAGCAGCTAGAGGATCATCCAGCCTACAATAGGCCAGTTCATAGGGGAGACCTGAGGCCCACCTGCCAAGCTGCCCACCCGATGAGGGCAAACAGATTGTTCGGGGGAGGGGAATCATCATTCAGCACAGCTCACACCTATTCTCTCAGCCATTCACTATTTACCCCAGGAGTCTCCAAACTGGTGCCTATGGCTGGCATATCACCTGCAAAGGTTTTTCTTGGTGTCCTTGGGCAGGTGCCCTAGACTCTGAACTTTTATTTTAAAAATTAAGTCTGTAGCTCTCCTAGAAAGAAAGCTATGGGGCAGCAAAATTGCTTCTAGGCAATTTCTGTAAAATGAGAATGGTGTGGCAACTTTTCATATTTTTTCTGGTGCTGAGGAATGCTCCCTGTTGCTATTCAGTGTGTGTGTGTGTTGTGTGTCAGGATCAGCGGAAAATAGCTGATTTTTCATGGTAAGCATAAGGTTGTTCTAGTTTTATGTCATTCCCCAAGACAGCCATATTGTGTTATGTCATGCCCCCTCCATGGCACCCATTTTGTGACTGGCACCCCCAGCACTCTAAAAATTCAAAATGTGCCCACTATTTCCAAACAGTTTGTTGACCGTTGATTTACCTAATGCACTTTCAGAAATGTTGGTCCAGAGAAACACAGAAAAATAGGAAGCTGCCATAAACCAGGTCAGACCATTGTCCATCTACTCCGTATTGTGTACACCGACTAGCAGCAGCTCTCCAGGCTTTCTGGCAGTGGACGTTCCCAGGGGACTGAACCTGGGACTTCCTGCATGCAAAGCAGATGTTCTACCACTAAGCATGAACCCATTTCATTCAGATTTAAGCATGTGTCTCTTGTTCATTGGAAAGAAGGCATTTGAAGGTGCACAACTGGAACTAAATCTTGCCTTCATCTCAAATTATGGCATTTTCTTCTTTTTAATATTTTGACAAAGCGATCTTATGCAGAAATATGGGGCTTACTCTACATAGGATGGCGGCTAGTAGCAGATGGTGGCGTATGGCATAGTGGTGCTTACCCGACCTCCCAGCACGTGGATCGCAGCTGCTTGCAGAGAGAGAAAGTGAGAGGGTCAAGGTGGCATGGAGTTCAGCCCTGTGCAGGTGCACCGGATGAGCCAATGTGGTGCTCCTGCTGGTGCGTTTGCACAGCGCTGACCTCCTTCCCCCTTGCCCATTCCACTTTCCCTCCCAGTAAGTAACAGCAACCCACCTGCTAAGAGGTCAGGTAAGCAGTGCCCCATCACTCCTATGAGTTCTAGGTCTAAGCATCAATTTTGATGAAGAGCTTTATGTATCTGCAAATTTGATTCGAGTAGGATATTGTCTCACTTGCTCTGTGCATTTGAATTATTTTATAATGACTAAAAATAAATAAATCACTTTGCACTTTTATCATTGCCCCCCAAGTTGAGCTGCTAACTGCAAATATAGATTCCCAAATGCTGAATTCAGCAGACTTGGCTTCCGAAGTTGGATGTACGATAATTCATAACTACCTCATGTTGGGGGAAAATGTTTAAAAATGTTTGGAACTATTGAAAAATTAGATATGTTAATCTGGTCTTCACGTAAAACAATGACAGTTCATATTCACCAGGTGGTGTGCTTCAGATGAGAAATCTTTTTCTTTTAAAAAGGTTATTGAATATAGATAAGAAAGAATGAAATGGTGCCATACAAGCTTAGAAGGTAAGAAACACACACACCCTTTTGCATCTGTTTACGTAGCCTTAGTATCATTTCCTGTGAACTGTGTTATGATGAAGCTTCAAATACTGCTTTGAACATTTCTGTGGTTTCTTGAATAAATATCCATAATCCAGTATTGTATGCTCTTAAATTTTAGGCATGTACTTTTTCGAAAAGCAATAAAATCTAATATAGTTCAACAGGGGAAAGATAAAAAATGTAACAACAGAAGAATGGCAGTCACTCTGTTGCAAATGTAAAAGAAAAAAGAGCAAATGACTCCTCAAAGTATCAGACTATAAACTGTCCCAAAATGGTGGGGCAGGCATGGCCAAACCTGACCCTCCAGCTGTTTGGAGAATACAGTTCCCATCATCCCTGACCACTGGTCCTGTTAGGGATGATGGGAGTTGTAGTCCCAAAACAGCTGGAGGGCCAAGTTTGGCCATACCTGTGGTAGGGGTTAAACCTCTACATACCCCCATCCAACTCTAGTTGCACTTTTATTTAAGAGAATAGTTATATTTCATTGCTGTAAAAAACCAAAGGAGCTCTAAGCTATGGCTCCTGCCTTTAACTACCTCTAGGAATGAGGGAGAAATTGGATTCAGTTCACTTCTAAAGATGAACCTACTTCATTTGCACTTGCAAACCAAAATACATCCTCCTTTGAAATTTGCACTTCTCTGAATTTTGCAATGCAATTCTCCAGCCAGTTCTCCACCTTGCACACCCCCAAACTGGTTCAAGGTGGTGATGGAACAACCTCCAGAAAGAGCACATTGCGGGAAGAAAGAGGAGATTGTTCCACAAGGCAAGCAGAAATGCTTGCACTGATGGAACATTTGTAACAATGCAACATTGAATTCTTCCCACAATTGTGGTTTTTTTGGGGGGGGGGTTTACTAAAAACTAGAAAAGCTGCAGGGTTTAAGCAGCAGTGACTTATGCAGACAGAAAGAGAATAAAATAAATACTCAAAACAGCAGGATAAAATCACTTTGAATAAAACCAACTATACACCACACAGTAAGACAGACTAAAATGCTTCAATAAATGTTTAAATGTCATGATCTGTTGCCTGAAACTTAACTGTGGGTGCAAATGAATCTTCCTAGGGGTGTGGTATGCCATAAGTGGGGCAGCACTGCATATAAGTCAGCTATTCTTTCTTCCATTCATATTTGCTAAAAGTATAGTATTGAGAAAATCAGTTTTTTCTTAACTTTTCTCTTAGATTCTTACGAATTCACTCATGATCATATGTGACCTGTAAGATGTCAGTTCAATTGGACTTTCAATTGGTCACTCAGTGTTGCATTCAGCATAGCACTAAGTAGCCCTTTGTGTGAGCAGAATGACTTGCCCTTGTGCAACAGGACTCCCCCTCCCCAATCCTCCCCCAATTTTAAATCTGGGAGTCGTGTCTATTTGTGAAAGCAGAAGGCAATAAATGTTTACCTTGATACTCCGTGTTTCTTCCAACTTTATGATTCTGCCTTATGGAGCATCATTCCCAGGGGTACTGCATGGGCAAAAGGATGGCTGTGCACATGGCCCATTAATGAGATGTAATCCCCTAATTCACCTCTCGTGAATGGGGTGATGAATTGGGGTGGGTGGAAGCAATTAGTTGTAGTCCTAAAATTGGCCTTTTTTTCACTCACCAGATTGGAGTGCACTTTCCTTCTCACAATTCATCTGGAGAAAAGGGTGAATCCTAGTTTGACACCATGCAATGTTAAAGTACAGCAACACAATCCTAAAAAGGAACTAGAGAGTAATCTCAGACCTGGAAGTCCCTCTTTATATTTTATAATAAATTTTATTGTTTTTAATTAAAACATTTAAGAATTAGTTTTGTGTGTGTGTGTAAAAGATCGCATAGATCAATACTATAAAATGTAAATATTCTTACTTAAAATACAAACTAGCAGTAGTCAAAACAGATTACATTAATACAAACATACAAAGGAAACAGCCTAAACAGCCTAATCCTAAACATACCCCCCTTACAGCCACAATTGCTTCAGCTTCATAAAATAAGTTAATTTTGTTCAAGATCCTCAAGCAGTAATTGAGAGGTTTCTCTTTAATTGCAGGTGGTGGTATTCAGATATGGGCTATAAGTGCTTTCCCATTTTTTTAAAAAAAAACAATCATTTGCTGAAACAACATTTATCTAACTTTTTTTGACTAAAAAGTGCTGGCAAGTCACCAAAGTACAGACAAATGCCTTCACATACAAGCAATTACTATTGTTCCAAATTTAATCCATTTTTCCCTCCTCCCCCTCCCAAATATCAACAAAAGCAATATGAGATGTTTCAGAATAGGATGATGCTTGAGGCAAAAAATTAAAAGTGGGCTGTGTTGGCAGTCCACAGAAGAAAAACGTGAGACCACCTAGTTAGAGGGATTGTTGCGTTTTAATCCTACTAGCGGAACAAATACAAACGGGGATCAATTGGCAGCTCTGGAGAAGAGAAGCAAATGGACAAATGCTGCAGTCTGGTTATATGGAACTTCCCTGGTGAAAAAGTAGGAGATAGGAAGACATGTTGCAAGAAAAAGCCATCGTGGTGCAGTGTCAGACTAGGACCTGCATACTCCAGGAGTAAGCAACACGCACACATGGGATTTCTCCCATTCACTTCTAGGGAAGAGGTTGCGCCATGTGCACACGCAATGTGTATATCAGAGGTTTTGTTCCTGCAGTAAGTCATTGGAAGGAGGGTTTCTTTTTAATCAAAGGTCAATGGAAGCTGGCATTCGCAAGAATTTATTACTTTATCTGCATTTTTCCTTGCTCTAGCCTAAGAACTTGGGGAAGATAGAATTTATTCTTTTTGAACATTAATTATCTTGACAACACATGAAATACATTTAGCTAAGAAATAGTGAGCTGCCTGTGGCCACACAGGTTTCAGAGCTATGGTAGGCTGGATCAGTATTGCAAGGTCAACGTTTGCGGCAACCCTCTACAGATCTCCCAGGGAGTAAGCCTCAATGAACTCAGTGAGGATTACTTATTGGCGATAGAATTGCACATAGAATTGCACCGATTCTGTCCACTGCAGCACTTGCTTCAATCCAGCTCAGTCTTGTAATAATCACATTTTCCCCTTGGCTGAGCAAATGGTGTTCCTAAACATAGATTTGCCTTATGTTAGTTTACACCAGAATAGACTATCTAACCCCCTACTGGTAGGACCAGGGAAGAGGAGAAACATGAAGTTGATCTCATAGGATTTCGGGGGGGTGGTTCTAAATATTGCTAAACTGCAAGTCCTGTCATCCCTGTTGATTGGTCATGCTAGATAGAGCAGTATCTGCAGGGCACCACCTTGGCATCCCTGCATAGTAACTTGGCAGATATTACATTGATGGGAGGAAATGACACTACAGACATATAAAGCATGACCGAACCTAAGCAATTCCTCACTAGAAATACCTGTAATGGCAGAATGCTGACATGCTTAGTGGTCATGAATTATCTTAAGCTATGTGGCACAACCCCCTCCCTCCTTTCTAAAGCATGGAGTGTCTACTTCCTGACTCTAAAAAGAAGCCAGTAATGACAAAAGTCCATCTAAAGCTAAAACACGACTGCCTCTTGGCTTCTAAATGGCAGATGGTAAAAAATATACCCTAATTTCTTTTGCAGGGTGCATTATCCCAAGTTTCCACTCCATTATGTTGAAAACAGACCACACTGTATTTACTGATGGCTTTGCTAAAATAACCCTTGTGCACATTCTTCTTAACAATTCACTTTAACTGCAGCAAGGAAAGGGAGGCTGATTACAAAGCCACAGAAGCTCAGCCTACAAGAATGTTGACAGCACAGTGCTGTATATAGAAATCCATTGCATGGATGTAATGAAGTTGCAAAGCTGAGCGAGGGTTTGCAAACTGCCCTTTGCAATGTTATTTTTCCCATGTCTCTTTCTGTACCATATTATTTCAAATCTCCACATCAGATGATGGGCTGATTCTGGTTTACATTGTGGGCTCTTCTTGACATAATGTTTGGCTAGTTGAAGTGGCTTTTTATTACCATACATCTAGAAAACTTACATAGACATTGATAATTCGTGTAATGTTTCTGGGCTTAATGTTCAGAGTCATAAGCATAACAATGGAGATCTTTGATTCGTTTTGGTTTCTTATTTGTCCAAAATTTCTGATTATCTGCTCAACCTTTGGACTATTTAGGATTTTTATTCTCAATCTAAGACACTCTGGAATTAAACTCTTAAACTGCTTGAACTCCTCTCATTGGGCCAGTTCAGTTGATGCTTGAAAGGTCCACTCCAGCCATGTCCCCTGGCTTCACCCTGGCCATCCATGCAGGAGAAAGCTATCCAAAATGCAGCCCATATGAATGAAATCCTACAGACATTAACCAAAATTGCATGATTGGTTCCCAGATAAATATCCAAGAATCAACCGTGCAATTTTGGCCAATGCTTTACGTGGGCCCCACCGACACATGCGGAGGTCCAGAACATAACAAAATGGATTTTCTCTATATCCCCAAGCTTTTGACAATGCTGCTCACATAGCTACATTTTAGACATTAGACATTATAGTAGAATTATGGAAGCCACTCCTGAATGATGACACTCCTGTAATGTTTAAAGACCTGCAACTGTGTCAGTGGGTCCTTCTTAGAATCACATCATTGCCCTTGATCCTGGTCAGGTGGTGATTTTTGTTAAGCCCATGTGATTAGCCCTGAGCACATGGTTGTGAACCTTTAAATTACAGCAAGACTGTGGGATGACCCATATGAAGACAACCTAAGACCATTTAAAAGGTACATCAATTCACGACAAAGCAGAGGCATATATATTATGCAAGGAAAGGGCTCTCTTTGTCATTTACTTCAGCCTTTAGTACAGCTTCCCTTCCCTGAGTAAACATATCTGAGCTGTTTTAATAGGGTGTTTCAGGAAAACAAATCATATCAATCAACTCTAAGAAGATTCTGCAGTCATTGTCACGAAGGCTTTCTCATTCCATCAAGTGAAAAAGGCTGGGTAAACTATAGAGCTTCTCAGTTCTTGATTTCTCAACTGAGACCATTAAATTAAGAATTTAATTTTTACAGGATTTGAAAGATGTGAGTTATCCTTTCTTAGGAAACCAGATGGGAGACTAATGCAGTGTATTTCACAAGCCACTGAGCAATAACTGTATGGGATCTGCTTTCATATACTTTTGACACAGTTATATTTGAACCAGTAACCCTCAGTCTGCATAGCCGTTATGATTCCCTTGAGCCATCTAGCCTGCTAAGTGGTTTACCCTCGGATGCAATCTGATGTTGCAATGAATTGCAAAATATGGGTGTTCCAAAGCCAGGATGAATGGTTTACAGCCATTTTATTTCATATGGTTTCAAGCAGATCTCCATGTGCTGGTCTTTGTGGCTTCGCCTGTCCTCCTTCTTTGCTTTCTTTTGCAATTTGCTTACGATCATTCCTCAGGCTTATCATTAAAAGCAGACAGCATTGAAAGAGTTTCAACCAATTTCATAACACATTTTACATTATTAAGACTCAAAACCACAATCTGACCCAGTTCTGTTGAAAAGCGAAACTAACTTGATTCCATGTGGGTAACGCTGTAGGAGTCTGATGTGTAGACTTCTGGCTGGGGGCTGGGGGGAGAGGGAGGAGGGATAACTTGATCATGTTTTCTCCCTTTCAGCCCCTTATGAGGAATGCTTTGGATTATTTACATTAGGGAGACACACAACTCCACAAAAATGCAGTTTATATTTGATAGATGGCTGCTTTGTGTTACCAAGGAACACAATCTACTTCCAGAGATCTGTTTGGTCTTTGAAGATACAGAGATTGTCTCCTGCTATGGCCACTCCTATCTGAGTAAAAGCCAGTAATGCCCCTTCCTCCTTCCCAGTTTAGAAAACCATAAAATACAATTCCTTTGCCTATAGAGTTTAGCTGTGACAAAGCTTTTCAGATCTGCTGTCAGAATACTGGGACTTGATAGGCACAAGCTGGCTTATAAGCCTGTTGAAATTCTGTATTAATTAGATGACAAAGATGGGAAGAGGCTTTAAGAGAGAGAGAGAGAGAGAGAGAGAGATGAAAAACAGCCCCACTCAGTGTTATCAAGCAAATTAAAAATAAAGCATGGGCAGAATACATCAGGCATGTCTCATTGCAAACAGGAAAGCTCAAATTTTAGCTGGAATTTAAACAGCAGTCTGTGCCTTGCAGAAATACACGCAGTAATGTCAGACTCAGCAATGTCCCCGCTGATGTTTACAGCTATGCTCTGGTGTGTGGAAATGTAGAAAATCAGATGGTGGGTCCGCTTGGCTCCCCTGGCTCCGAGACAGCGAGCAAAAGAAAAAGACAGACTACACAAGCGCCACCTCACTTTCAGAGGTGTAATAGCAACAAAAAGGATGCTCAGCTTTTGCAGCATGTATTTTCTTAGTATGCATTGTGCATTCCAACAAAGTTGTTGTTGTTAAGGAAGATATTTGCAAGTAATGTATTGATTGATGGTGTTCTTTTTTTTTCCTCGCTGGAAAGTTTGTTGGTGTTTGACGAAGAGACAGAAGTAGGCTACAAGGCAACAACACCATATCATTAAAGGAAATACCCCTAAATTCGCCAGTTATTGCTGAAGTAACAGAGAGCTCTCTTTGCATCCAACTTCGATGCTGTCCGCATTGCTTTTATTGCTGCTTTGATCTATTGCTGCAATTCACAGTGTGATGACATCAGATTGCATGTGCTGTCTTTCTAGATAGAGGCAGGGCTGTTGCTGAAAGTGCCATAACATTTCGTTCTGGTCCAAGAGTCCTCCTTCCATTGTTTTGCTATTGTTGTTAATGTTCCCAAGGTGCGGTGCTGTGAGAGTCACTTTTCCATGGCTTTGTTCCATGGTGATGTTGTAATGCTGAAAAGCCCGCAGCCACATGGCCAGGCCTGATGATCATCATATGGATGCTTCCCACCAAAGTGGATCCCAAAGAGAAGGAAGGTGCTGATGCCATGGGAAAGATGCCACGTGGTTTAACATACCCGCAGGGCTGCAGGCCTTTGAATATTCAAAACAGAGCAGAGGACTACTCCAGGAAGAGTAATTCCCATGGTGTTGTTGTAGGGTATAAAAGCCAAGAGAATCTGAAGCAGTTCCAGCCTAGTAGAGTCAGTATTTTATAACCTGGGGATGCATCCTTCTTTAAACAGCCCTGAAACTTTGAAAAGGTTGCAGCCCCAATTTTTACTGCTTTCTTCATTTGTTTAAAACATGTAAATAAATGTTCATCACAATACCTTCAAGAGCAACTTAGTATAGTAACCAAATCTATAACGGATAATCTATAGTCATGTAGTTTAGATGGAAATTCTACTTTTGGCACCAAAATGTGTTGACCCCAAAATGAGCATGTTTACTATTGCCCCTTCAGTCTGAAATGTCTTTGCCATACGTAAAGCAGCAACCATCAGTTAATTCAGACATATCTTTTTGATTGGGCTTTCCCTGGTCCATAAATTGGACCCCGTTTTTACTTGTTGGAATGCCTTGTATTCCTGTTTTTATATCTTTCTATATAACTGCTTTGCTGGTTTTGTCATATTTTTGTTTTAATTATGTTGTTTATTGTTTTTATGTTGTACACCACTTAAGTGGTTAATGAATACTTGAAATAGAATAGAATTAAAATTAAAAAGTGATAGATGACGGCTGAGAGAAACAATATTTAAAGTGTGTGGAGATAACAAAGAAAGGTTTTGCCTGATGCATAAAGGCTTTGGCACCAGGTTATCCTTCTCAGCAGGGTCAGATTTAGGTTTGATGAGGCCCTAAGCTAATGAAAAGGGACGCGGGTGGTGCTGTGGGTTAAATCACAGAGCCTAGGACTTGCCGATCGGAAGGTTGGCGGTTCAAATCCCCGCGACTTGATGAGCTGCCATTGTTCCGTCCCTGCTCCTGCCAACCTAGCAGTTCGAAAGCACATCAAAGTGAAAGTAGATAAATAGGTACCGCTCCGGCAGGAAGGTAAACAGCGTTTCCGTGCGCTGCTCTGGTTTGTCAGAAGCTGCTTAGTCATGCTGGCCACATGACCCGGAAGCTGTACACCGGCTCCCTCGGCCAATAAAGCGAGATGAGCTCCACAACCCCAGAGTTGGCTACGACTGGACCTAATGGTCAGGGGTCCCTTTACCTTTAAGCTAATGAAGGTAATGGGGCCCTTTATATGTCCAGCTGTCCTTTGTCAACAACAAATTGTCGCTGTTTTTGTGCTGAATATATGCTGTAAGGTAATTTATGGGCCTAATAGGTATCTAAAGCCATTTGCACATAACAAATAGGAGCTTACACAGCAGAAAACACTGTTGCTGTATGTAGGGTTTTTTTTGTTTTTTATCTTATATTTTGGAAATGTGCATCCAGTTTTTTTGTCCTTTAAATTTTTTGGGGGGCCCCCAAGAGAGTGAGGCCCTAAGCTGTAGTTTGTTTAGCTTATACATAAATGCGGCACTGCTTCTCAGGGAGGACAACGTTTCAGTTGGGGGGCAGGTACTGAAAATGTATCCTCTCTAGTTGACATAGGTCTCACCTCTGAAAGAGGAGTGGCTCATGGCTGAACAAAACATGCTGTTTGCAGTATTCACTTGACAACTGCTTTTTTAAAAAGACCAGGTACATGTCTAAAGTTAGAGGAACCAAATCATCCACATAGAAAAGCATGTGAATCTTATGGCAGCAGTGGGGTCAGGGGACCTTGGGTCTGTGAACTGAATGTGGCCTTCCTGGCCTCTGTGTTTGAACCTCAGAACTCTCTGTAGACTATTGTTTTCCTGCCCAGAAAGGAATATGGCCCATGGGTGGGGTACATTTTTCAAGCCCCTGTCTTACAAGTTCCAGCTGAAAGGGAGAAACAATTCTGGGCCAGAAAGCCATGATGGAGACTGCTAGGCGAAAGGCTCTTTCAGCATTCATCCTGATTTGCTCACACAAAACTTATGTGGTGGTAAACTATGTCTGGTCTTGACTGAGCATCCATGCTGCTTTGTTTATGGGGTGCTTATACTACAATGAGAATCCATCCTGATTTTTGTGTGTGGTGTTTACAAGTCTTCCCACTAATGGTTTATTCATCCCACGTATTTCAGTGCATTTCCTCATCACTTCCCACCTATAAAAAGTCATTTTAAAAGGGGGGGGGTTGTTGCACTAGGGCAACAGAGCACTTTAATCAACTTTAATTGTGCAAACCTAAATTTTCAGTACATGTCAGAATCCCTTCCTCAAAATAGTGGTCTTCTAGAGGCACTCTTACTTTTTCTAAGCTAATGAAAGCCTTTACATAAAATGTGGGGGAACTATGGCCCTTAAGATGTTGCTGAACTCTCATCACCCCTGGCCATTAGTTAGGCTTGCTGTGGCTGATGGGAGTTGTAGTTCAGCAACATCTGATGGGCAAAAGTTTCATCAAACCTGCTTTACATAGTTTTCAGCCATGATAGGTGGCTATCCTCAGATTCTTTTCGTTCAGCATAGATATATTTGTGGAACCAGTGTGATAGAAGGTATTCCACATTACATCTTGTTTTGCTTTTTGTTCTTGGAAGCCCATTTTAAATTTCTGGATACTGCGTTATTGGCATTATAGTCAAAACCACCCCAGGAAAAATACATTGTCATATACTGCCTTTTTATGATTTATAGGGTGTCTCTGTTTGTGCTGGCTGCTGCATATATATGATTTCAGGCAGAGATAGCTGTAATATAGGTGAGGTCCTGATTTGAAGATAATTTTATTTTATTGCTTTTTTCCTTTTTTTCTCCCTTATCAATTGTTTTATTGTAGTTGGATTTTTTATAAAAACAACATGATTCTGGCTTTTATGTGATGTGGTTTATACATGTAGCATTTTTAGTATTTGCATGTGCAAATTCGATTTGCTGCATACCTTTGAGCCAGTTTGAAGTTTTGCAAAGGGTTTTGGCCATAAGCAGTAACAGTTTGAGCTGACATATCTGATTTTTCCTTCATGAATCACAGGTGCTGCTAGGAACCTTTGTACTGCCAGTGGGGCCTTTTCCCCACAAGGTTCCTAGCCTTGTGGAGGATGGATTGCTGTTCTGATTGCAGTGGAGAAGGGAAGAGATAAGCCCCCACTTTGGGCCATCTGCAGATGACCCTATAGAGTTGCATTTGGAGGGCCCCTTAAATAGTTGACTACATAAACTTTGCTTTGTGTACCTTTGAGAATTCATCTGCCCTCATTTCTTCTCAGTGTGTGGGCAGAAGGATATGGGAAGAGTTTCCATTTGTCATTCCCTGAATGATACAGAGGAAAGATTCCAGCTGTCACATACCCTCCAACATCTCACAGAGGAAAACTGGAATGCACATCTTTGGGAGCTATGTTCTTGCAGGCGCCAGGTAATTCACATGAGAGCATGGCCCTCCAAAACAGGCAACTTTTGGTGCCGCACACCCGCAGGAACTAAAACAGGGCATCCTGGGATGCAATCAGAAACTGGGGTGGCTTCTATAGTTCCGGGATGTTCTGCTCAAATTGGGACAGTGATGGGTGTGCTGTCATTCAATTGGAACAAAAGAGTCATACCAGCAGACAGGAGGAGAGGGATTGATATGTGTTCCAGAGAAAGAGTGGGATGGGGGGAGGAATATGGCTGCATCAACTTTCACAGCTCCTGGACATTTCAAGAAACATATCCTCCACCATGTCATACCTCTCTTCGTATAAAAAAGGTCATTCCCTAAGGCCTTCCCAAACTGTTTTTATGGATTGCTGAAGCTACTGCTCCATTGACTGTATGTGGCACTCACTTACTCTGTAATAGACTTCCTTCCTCTGATGTTCTTTGGGTTAAAGATATACAGCACTAGAAAATTGCCCTACAATAGGATATTGACAGTTCATTGAATACCCTTTGTGGTTTTAAATGACTATTGTTTGCCTTTTGGTTTGACTCATTTTAAATAGAAATCATTTTGTAATCACAGGATGAAATCTGGAATATAAATCAAGAAACCTCAGCAGCAGTTGCAGAGGGGAATATGATGGGTCCTGTGTGACATGGTGCCTTATGGTCCCTGTGCATGCATTTAAATACATTTACTAAAGATGTCCCCTTGGAAATTTACTGCCTAGATACCTGGGGAAATGACTGAAGCCTGAAGAATGACCACTAGCAACTCCCACTGAAGTGATTGAAATCCGGAGATAGATCACTGTTGCAATAAAGGTTGTAGTTGTGACCTGCCAATGCCCCACACTCATAAGTGAAGTAGCCTAAAGTGGGGAGCACCCTCTAAAAACCATTGAAATGCCCCCTCGGCTGCTCTCTGTACAATCCATACTTAAAATACTGTATCCGAAAATATCCACAACTGGAATTGATGCTCTGGGGACAACTGGAAGCTGGAGGATGTGCAGGAAAGTGGTGGCTGCTGCTCATCAGCTGTTAGGTAGGGATACTGAGCAGAGTAAACAAGGCCATGCTGTGCCTTTGTTCTCTCTGGAGCTTCCTCTGCCCTCACTGACATATATTTGGGCTCCAGGGAGGGTTTCCTCATGAGCCACAAGCACTGTCCTGTTCTCTCCTGCCATTTCCAGGTCTGAATTGTTTTGTATTTCCCAGTGCTGCACATGCACACAATCAACTTGTGCATCTGTGTATAAGTGGGGGGATGGCTGAGCTGTATGCTAAGCTTGGTAACAAAAAACTAGTATATGAAATGCTTATAGGACACATGAATGGACAAGAACTCTCTCTCTCTCTCTCTCTTAAACAAGAACAGAACAGCAAAAGGAAACTCCTGCTTCACCCTGGATAAAACTTTGTAATGACACTTTCCGCATATATTCCTCCCTCCTTATTTTTATGCGAGAATTAAATAAGTTTCATAATAGAGAAAATCCCATTGTTACAAGATAAACCTGATTCTATATATAACTCCCAGCAACGGTAGTGTGGCAAGCCAGTTCCAGCATTCCTATGAGGTGAATCCATTCCTCAGTTCAATACTAAACTAATGCACAAATCATGGGAAAACAAATCAGAGATAACTATGCCCTGGCATTGATTTTTATCTTTCAAAGTACGTCATTCATTGTTCCCTTTGGGTTGTTTCTGATGGCAGACCTTCCTTCATTTGAAAGGCTAGACCTTGTGCAGTAGTTTGAAAGCGATCAGACAGACAGAGCCTCTGGGGGTGTATGCTGTTGTTTCAGGAGCTGCACACCTCCCACACAGCTCTGCTTAAGAAGTCTCTGTAGTATCAGGTGAGGAAAAGCCTGTCCAAGGCTTTTTGAACATGTCATCCATACTGTGAGAACAAAAAAGGCAGACCTTATAGAAAACACCTGTGGAAACGGAAAGCAATTTAAAACCAGATGAGGAGATAAAACTCCAAAGGTGGATGTTTTACTAGGCTTCTTAATTCTCACTCGAGTTTCTGTTGTGAGTTTTATGAGAAATAGTTGCTGCGTTTTCTTTTCTTTTTGGTAATGAACTTTTCTTTTGATTGGGAGGGTCCTAGAGGACCATAAGGCTGTATTGGTGCAGCAGAGGAATTCTGTATGCACACATTGTTCATCATTTACAATTCACAGAAAATGTATAGAGCACCTCACAAATGTTTCCTTTTCACTCTTGCAGACACTTCAAGGGGAAACTGCATGTATCACCAACCAAACATCTGTAAGCAACAACCTCTCCTTGCTTCCAGTTGAGCATGCCCTTCTGGTCTTAAGAATCTAGAAATGTTAACATAAAGATGGGGAAAATTAACATTAATTCCCCCATTTTTTCCTGTGTGTTTCATTTCTTTTCTTTAAAGCTTACATCTTGAATACCTTCTTTCAAGTGCATTCATAACAAAAACACAACTTTTTATATACCTTGCAAACAATAACAGTTCAAAGTACTGGCAAACAAGTAACGTTGGACTGAAAGAAGGTATGGGCCTGAATGTGGTTTAAATTTATTAGGAAGCCTGAAAATATACAGTACAGAAGATAATAAAAGTATCTCAGTGTCATGAACTGGCAGGACAATGGGGAGATGAAGAGGGTGCTGGTGAGGTGTGTAGCCATGACTGGTACACACTGGAGCAATCTGAGGGTGGAGAAGCAGAGATTGGGGGTGTAGAAAGCACTCATGGGGTGACAGAGGATGGCAAACAGATGGAGGTCAGTTAGGGCTGCCATACGTTTGAAAATAGCACCTGGGTAGAATTTTCAGAAATTAGTTAAAATGTCTGGGAAAATCTGGGGTATATGGCAGCCCATATCAGAAGTGTTGATTTTTGACAAATTTTCTAAAAAGCTCAACAACTTATGCGTCTGGATTTTCACTTTTTGAAATATGACAACCCTAGGTCAGTGCACAGGAACCAGAGGAGCAGGACGCATCACCAGAGCAGCCCCCATCTCCATGAACATGGCGGGCTCTGAGGCGTAGGGAGCAGCGGGAGGGGTGCTCTAGGAGGCTGTGGCAGGCAAGGGCACACATCCCAGCTCCCTAGCTGGCCAGGTGGGGTTGCTAGCTCTGGGAGGAGCTGTGTGATTCCTCAGCTGGAGAAGGTTTGGAACAGGTGAGGGTCATCTGCCTCATCAAGCCCAAATGCTGCAATCAGCAGGCAAACTATGAAAGGGCAGCCGAGCTGAGGTGCTGTGTCTGTTCAACTTCCCATGTTAATGGACCACAGCTTGGTGTCCTAGGAGCTCCATGGAAATGTCCTTTTGGGGATTGAACACTGGACTGGCTTCAGAGGTGGGAATCAGGCCTGACTGTTAGACTCGGCCTACTGTATTGAACCTGGACCATGTTCCCTGATCTGTTGGACTTCTGGAGTACTCATTAACATTTGCCAGCAGGACTGGACGCCAGGTATGCTGGGGTTCTGGACACACAGAAATGGGAAAAACCAGACTTGTGTGATATTGTTTCAAAGCCTCAAAGTTATTTGCTCTGTGCTTTTATTATTCTGATCCTATAGTGTACAATGTTTGAAGCCTTGATGGAACTGACATCAGGGAGATCTGAGTTCAAGTTAATACTCGCCCATAAGGCAGCTGGGTAATGTTTGGCCAGTCAGTGTCTCTCAGCCATCTATCTTCATAGGATTGCTGTGAGGGTAAGGAGGGGGCATGAATACTCTCTTGAACACTTTGGGGGAAGTAGGATAAAATTGTAATAAATAATAAAAATGAATAAGCTTTACTAAGACATTTTGGTAAAGTCATAGGTGTACAGATGTTAGAAATGCAAACATAAAAACATTGAAACATTTAAAATTTGTTTTTCTTAAAGATTTTCTTAGGTCATAGTCTTTTCTGCCAAACAAAGGTTCCATGTTAGGATACAAGAACACACACCCTTTTCTGCTCAAGGGCCACTTGAGCAAACTACCTAGGGGTCACATGCCAGTGGTGGCCAGGGCCAACCCACACTTTTTCACATTCACCCATGCGTGCACTTCCATTCATGCTCATACTTTCTTGCAACCAGTGTGGATGGTACAAGATCAATGTAATATGACCTGATTGACTATCTCCAGTCAAAATGCCAGCAGCTGCACTTCAAACCAATTGAAATGACTTGCTGTCACTATCTTTTGTTAGCTCTCCACAATTTATCTTTTTCACTTTTCAAAGTAGGGAAGTCTGTGGCTAGTCTTTTTCACAGAAACTTGGGTGGTGTGAACTGTTCCATCTTTCCCGGCTCTGTTGAAGCTATGCACCTCCCATCAGAAGTGCATTAGCCCAAAGAGCAATAAATGTGACTTAGTCTGACCAAATGTAAGGGGAAATCTGAGTTATAACAGCTTAACCACAAAATATGCAAGAGAGTATACATTCCAAGCCCAATGTTAGCTTTGAAATTAAAATGTGATTACTATTGCTGAGTCGTCTGGAAAAGGGCTAAGATGAAATTACTCACACATTTGTGATTTTATTTTTGCATATATTTAAAAGGAGGCTTTAAAAACCATTTTTTCAACTCTCTTGAACTTTTCACTCATTTTCATTCATGCTTTGAAAAGTGTGGTGATGTTCTTGCACTTAGCAAAGTCAATGCATCTACCTTCAGTAGATAAATCCAACTGGCTGTGTTGTTATTTACTGAAGGACAACAATGTCATCAACAGTTTGTGACATAGCATACTGTTGTCCTATTTATAGCACATTATCTGATGTGTTCACTTGTCTTGTGTGACCTTGTTTGAGGAAGTAATATAAGATGGAGAGATTTTATTTTATTTTTTAAATAAGTACTGTGGGGTATGGGTAAGGCACTGAACAGCACAGGAAAGTTTAAGTTTGGTTTACGGATGAAGTTTTATATATAAATCAGTAAATTATACCAAACTTTTGAAAACTCATCTCGTCTCTAACTGGCACTTTGGTCTTTTAGCTAACATACTAGTAATAACCAATTCAAAGATAGTTGCAATGTGTTGCCTCCAGATATTGTTGGACTACAACTTCCATCATTCCTGATCATTGGCTAAGGCTGATGGTGGCCGATTCCAACATCATCTGGCTGGCATTCCATTGCCTACCCCTCCTCTAGCTACACTCCCCTAAGGGAATTGCCAACATGTCTCTTCTCAAAAAAAGAAAAAAGAAAAAATGAACTTTGACTGTAGATTCCAAATGTTGACATATAAATATTTTAAATACATAATACTGTTTCCTAATTCTGCTGGATCTCTGAGGCTTTTGATACAATTGATCATAACATCCTTCTGGACCATCTAGAGGAGCTGGGGGCACTGTTATACAGTGGTTCTGCTCCTTCCTCCTGGGCCATGTCCTGGAAGTGGTGGTGGGGGATGAGTGTTCAGACCATTGGGCCCTCACTTGTGGAGTGCCTCAGGGTTCCATCCTCTCCCCCATGCTTTTTAACATATACATGAAGCTGCTGGGGAGATCATCAGGGGGTTTAGGCTGGGTGTCCATCAATATGCGGATGATACCCAGCTCTACCTTTCTTTTAAATCGGAACCAATGAAGGCAGTGAAGGTCCTGTGTGAGTGCCTGGAGGCGGTTGGAGGATGGATGGTGGCTAGACAGAAGGCGAAACAACAGTTGAGCTAACAATTCTGAAAACCCATCCACGCAAAAGTTTATGACTGCATTAGTTGGTGAAGTTCTTGAAAATGTTATGTCACTTCAATGAGCAAAGATATTCATAAAAATAATTTGGATGGACAGGTCCAAATACATTAGCTGTAAATGTCCCTGCAGTACCACTGAGGCTTGCTCATAGCTCCACCTGTTTGAGAAGCAACTACTCTGTCTTAAGAGCAAGGGCGTGCAACTTGCAACACAAGGGTGTGACCCTCTGATTTGATTTTGTGGGGGTGCTTAGCCTAGTTTCATGTAGGTGGCAAGGAGAGGAAAATAGGGGGAAGGGTGGCAGAAAAAGTGGGAGAATGGGGTGCTTCACACACTCTGGCCTACCCACTTTGGTTCTGGCCTCTCTGGCTTGTGGATCACTGGCTAGCTGCAAGCAGTTGGAGATAAAATCACCTAGCTCTGTGGGCCCAGTGTTATGAGATTATTTCCACTTGATGTAGTCTGGTGATGTGGGCAAAATAATTGCAGTCATTTGATCACATGCCCCCTGGACTTGTTGGTTTAAGATAGTTTGAGTGGGGTGGCCATGTGGGTTCTGAGTGTAATGAATGCATTGTTGCATGATAATATGGTGCCCACTTCCCTTAAAGAGGCTGTGGTGCATCTGCTCCTTAAAAGCTCCAGTGCTATTTGTTTTGGCATACTGTTCACCTACCACACATACACATGGGCAGACACAAACACATGCATCTTTCTTAACTGATCCCAATTAAAAAAAACCCCACAGAAACTTATATTTAGATTGCAATTTAATGTTAATTTAATTGCTTAAAAGCACACTGGTTTTTAGTTTCCCTTTTTAAGATTTGGATAGCATTTCAAAAAGTTCTGCTGTGCCTTTCCCAAAGTCATTTGGTATTTCATATGCCTGCCTCAGTGAAGTATTTCTATCTAGGGTGAATAGGGCAAACCAGCTAAATTGATTCAGAGGTCAAAGGTTAATCTAGGGTTAACATTCTTTCATAATTGCATTCCACTTTCAACCACCCCAAACAAAACCCTGAGCACACCCCAATTTAGCATATATATGTTTAATAAAAATGGACAGCCTGAGAGCCTTTTAGACCCAGAAATGTATGTTCACATCAGGTTCGCTATCCCGCCCCCTCCCTAAATGACAAAAACCAGATGACTCTCTGCATTGTAAGTTATACTAGCCCTATTTGGTCCTTCATCCCCCCTCCCCTTGTGATAACTTTCACATGAGAGAGAGAAAGTAGGGGCAGGTTAGCAAGCACCACCAATTCCAGCCCATCACATACATCACCTTTGCAACCCTCCACAAATTGTAAAGTGCCTTTCTGAAGTGAAGACCCTTCGCCACTCATGAAGAGACAAGAGAACAAAATTTGGCAATCATGTCTTTCACCAGAGAATCCTGAGAACTGTAGCTGGGTGAAGATTTTGAAAGTTCACTTCAAGATTACTCAAAGAGCTACAGTTCCCAGAATTCCCTGGGGAAGGGAAATTACTATTAAACTGATTTAAATCTATGTTGCAGATATGCTCTGAAAGATGCTGGAAACAGCAATAAAATGAAAGCAACTGTCTGCTAAGGAAATGATCAGTAGCTGGGGATGTACTAAAAAGTTCAAAGTCTAACATCTTTGGCCTCTTCAGTACATTGCCGCTCACAGATTATTGTGCTGACAAAAAAGAAAAGCAGCAGGTAAATGGAGGCTCCTTTCTGTTTGGTAACTTTGTCTCATTTGAGAGCCCTTCATTTCTGAATTAGCAGTGGGCATTACATACCTGAAGCTCTTATGCAGCCTTTCCCAACCTGATGCACTTCCGTTGTTTGTTAGACTACAACTCCCATCATCCCTGACAATTGGCCATGCTGACTGGGGTTGATGGGTCTTGTAGTCCAACAACATCTGGTGAACACCAGGTTGGGGGAGGCTGCTCTAATGTCGAGAAGGTTGCTTATAAAATGCATGGGGTGGGCTGCATCCAGTCTGCTAAGGCCTGCCTTTTCCCTCTTACCTTCAATGTCCAAGCATTCATAGTGGATCCCGTCAACATTACAGGTGAAGTATTGCCTGCCTCTAATCTATGGTGCTAATTAATTCATTTAATGAGTACTGATTTATAATAAAAGCAATAATGACTGCTCAATCCATTACTGCCATTATTATATATTAATGCACATTAAATTAATGAATGAAATCATACACATTCTATTACTTTTTAATAAGTAAATATATATTTGTTGTATAACAAAGAGTTCATTATGCTTTTCTATATAACTGTGGCTGATTGACTTGAAACAAACAGAATATAATATATCTCTGCTCAAATTGTTTTGATAAAAGATGGTTAAGCTTTAAAATTTCCTCTAGTATTTTCCCCTCTGAAACATCCAAAATCCCCTCTAGGGATTATAGTTTTTATTATTTCCCCATACATCATTTTTATAATCATTCCTATTGCTGTTTGTATATGCCTGTATATGCCTCGGCACATTTTGCAGCTTTCACTACACCGTAGGCAAAATTCTTCTTTTATTGCTGCTATTTTTTTTTTCTGTTTTATGTGCCAGAAATATCCACCTGGAAAAGATAATGAATACTGAATATGATCATACTACTTGCACAGATTAAAATTGTATTAGGCAAAGAGAAATGTCTCAGCTAAGCAGGTTTGAGCTAATTTAGACAAAATGTGGATTTCGTGCCCCCTGAGCCTATGTTAGATTTCCAAAGTGTTCATTTTAACAAAAGGAAGTTCCTAGTGCTCACTGTTGTGGAAGAAAATCCTAAAATATGCAGGGAACATGTCAAAAGTTATGAAATGACAGGAGCCCTTATAATCAACCATGACTAGAGCTGCTCTCTATGCTTTGGAGGGGGGAAGTATGCAGTGGGGAGCCTGCTGTACTTGTGTGGCCTCCATGCATGGTTTAGCACTCTTACCCTGTTGGGCTCTCAGTCACATGGGGAATGTTCATGAGCAGGCCATTTAAAAATAAATTTTAACTGAGTGCCTGTAGTTCACCCACATTGTAGCCCCAAAGCGCTTCAGAGGTCCCCATTTCAGTTCAGGGCACCTCAGACACATCCCACTTTGCCTTGGACAAGCCGAGAATCCCTCACTTTCATCAAATTTGAGATCCACCTGAATCTACTGCACATCCCTAGTAATAACATTAAAAGTGATATAGTTTGGTAAACGCTGCTGTTGTAGTTAGAATACAGCTACTAACAGTGTTTGAAACAAGGCTCGTGAGTTCATTTCAAATGCTTTTTTGCATAATATACAAAATGTATGTTTACATTTATTACAATGTATTTCATATTTGCAATATCTTGAAATGCCTTATTTTTTCACTTTCATAGTTAGTTTTATTCTATTTTTTAAATACCACATTTCCCACAAACACATCTGTGCTCAAGGTGCAGCCTAAATACAGTAGTACAGTGAGTAACCATGATACCTAATAAAATTTACAGTATCACTGCAATGCAACACTAAAAAAATCAACAATTAAAAGTTCACTGGAAATATATAAAAATAAAGCTCAGATAACAATATCCAATAACTTCATATCCAAAAGTGGCCCCAAAGCTGACGATATTGGCACCTTGAAACCCACCCACCAATCTTTAATACCTCAGTTCCAGAGGCCATTTTCATAAGAATTCTCTGTCATCCCTATTTACAGGGGGGGCGGAGATTAAACAGGCCACTAACATGTTCATTAGGCAAGTGTAGATGTAGAATTAAGAACCCCAGTTTCAGAGTCAAACCCTGGTATTTTCCAGTCAAACACTGAAAATCAATAGAAGCATAGTATTGGAACGGTTCTAAACAGTATGTGACTTGTACATACAACTTGAGCTCTACACTTTCTTACTTTAAGGTATGGTTAGGATCACTTCCCAATGTGCCACTCATTTTCCCTACTCCAGTCACTCCCATCACTGCAAAATTAAGAGGAAACATCCCTGTTCTAATTCTAAGAGTTAACCAAAATACTGTTGCACAAAAAGCTTTTCAGTTCAAAAGTGATTTCAGAATTTCCAGCTTGTCTGCCAGGAAGACAGCATTGTATTGCAATTTGCAAATCCTGGACAAGTCCCCTAAACTGAGAAAAAGGTCAAACTTCCATAAAGGACATGCCTTTTCCATTACTCAAGTGAGGTTTCAGTGACAGATATAATTCCCAACTTTGTATCTTTATTCCCAGAAATGGATTCTCCACATATCTATATTTCCGGCTGAGCAGGCTGTTGTTTCAGCTACTCTACCTTTATCTTCTCTGCCTTAAGTGTTAGTGCTGCTGACAGTGACATTAATTTTCTGGATTTCAGAAAGTCAATCTTTGCTTATTTATTGCACTCTGACTCTCTTCAAGGATCTCACCAAACATCTTGATTTCTTCTATACTTCTGCTATGCTTGATCCTTTTTAAAACTTAGTTTAGCTCACTTAACTACTCACATTGTCAGGCCTAGTTCCTTTGGGATCCATAACTATTCCTCTATTTGGCTTTCTAAAACACAGGAAAGCTCAGATTATTTTCTGGTCATCAAATGGACCAAATTTCACCTCATTCAGCCATCCTTAATTTCTCTTTCTTATTTTAAAGGTCTACCTTAGGTAGGTGCCTCTGGGCAGCTTTACCACTACCATTTACCAGAACAGTGCCGTGAAACCAATCAGGTGCACTTGTGCTACCCAAACCTTGCCATTGCCCTTCCTCAGCCCCACACTTTCCTGGTAAGCATCCACTGCAAGAATACCAGCTCTGCAGCTGTGCCATGCCATGTTGGCTGCTTCTGAAATCTGAATGTTCAAGTGTCTGGGAGGAAATGGTCTATGTAGCAACATTAAAAACTCTTCAGTTTCTTCTGTTCCATAAGATTGTTTTCTGAGATATGAACTTCGGTAGATCAAATGAAATATCAGAGGCAAATTGGTTTATGAGTTGGGAAAGCACTGCAATTAGTGCAGGTTTTTATGTCTTTAGTGGAGTTTTAATACGATACAAAGATACTGGAAACAAGTTCTGGAGGTAAATGATCAAGGACCAGGGGGCCACACTTATTTTTGATCATAAAATTGTTTTGCTTAATAGCTTGGATAATTCTCTACAAGTTTCTGTAAGACTTTTGGCTCTGAATCTGTCTGTAGTAGCCAAAGGGGGGGGGGGGGTTCTATCCTGGAAAGCTCCAAAATGTAATCAAAACCCTAGAAACTAGAGAAATTGATGGCTGATACTGTTCAAAAGAGAAATGCTTCAGTATTATTAGGAGTTAAGTGAGCATTTTTACTGTAATGTCCTTGTTGATTTCATTGTATAGGACTAAAATTTGTTTCTGTAGAAACCTTGTTTTATTTATTTATATTATTTGACACCTACTTTCCCTTCATTCAAAACATATATATGTGTGTGCATGTACACAAAAGCAAACAGACATGTATTTTTTACAAAGATGGAGATACACTGGCAATGGGAAATGCTGATGGCTTACCAAAGAGGGCCTTTCAGCACAATCCTGTACATGTCAGCTTTGAAATGAGGTGTATTGTGTTCAATAAGGCCTGCTCTCAAGAAAGTGTGACTATTATTGCAGCCTTAAAGACGGAGAGCCCTTAATGTCCTAGTTCAGCTTTATCAGGCAGACTTTTATTATGGAGGGGAAAACAGTAAGGCACAGATGTTTGCAATACATTTTTAAAGGATTAATATATGGAATTAGACAAAGTATATAGCTTAATAACTTTTCACAAAAGCACTGTTTCTTGGGATTGAGTTCTAGAGTGACAGGCAAATGAAGTGAACTATGAAGTTCTAAATGGCAGCAAAAAGCAGTTGGCTGCTAACTTTGGAGATTCAACTCATCATTCGGAAAAACTTTTAAGAGCAGTTCAGCAGTGGAACAGATTCCCATGAGAGGTGGTAGACTCTCCTTCCTTGGGAGTTTTTAAAGCAATGGTTGGATGGCCACCTGTCATGGATGCTTTAGCTAAGATGTCTGCATTACAGGGGGTTGGACTAGATGACTGTTGGGTGCCCTCCAATTCTATGATTCTTTCAGTATTTGCTCCAAACAGGCTTATGAGAGAACTTCAGGTGATGAATGCAATTTTGTGTAGTTTTATTAGGTGCTTAGAAGTAGAACACCAAAGAGTTGAAAGCATGTTATATCAGCTTTGTCAAAGTATCGTTATTATTTTAAAGCATCATGCCTGGTCTGTATCATTCTCCATCCTCCTTGTGTTCTTGTAACACAGACAAGTAAAGATATTTCCAGGAAATCTTAGCTGAGAAGGCTTTTGCGAAACAGTCTGTCTCTTCTAGTTGATGCTCTACAAGTAAGTGATATCAACAAGGACAGATAATGGAAATAATCCAGAAGAATGTTAGACACACCTAAGTCCCACTGAAACGAAGTGTTAAGTCCCTTTGACATACTGATTTCAGTTTGAGTTGACTTCCTCTCTTTTAAATAGGAACCAGTGAAGGCAATGAAGGTCCTGAGTGAGTGTCTTTAGGCAGTTGGAAGATGGATAGCAGCTAACAGATTGAGGTTAAATCCTGACAAGATAGAAGTACTGTTTTGTGGGGACAGGAGGCTGGCGGGTGTGGGGAACTCCCTGGTCTTGAACGAGGTAAACATGCCTCTGAAGACCAAGGTGTGCAGCCTGGGAGTCATTTTGGACTCACAGCTGTCTATGAAGGTGCAGGTCAATTCTGTGTCCAGGGCAGCTGTCTACCAGCTCCATCTGGTACACAAGCTGAGACCCTACCTGCCTGCGGACTGTCTCGCCAGAGTGGTGCATGCTCTAGTTATATCCGGCTTGGACTACTGCAATGCACTCTATGTGGGAGTTAGACTGCTGCAAGAGCGGAACTGCATAAAGGAGATGCCATAGTCTTAAAAATGACACTCAAATATGTACAACACATTTATTAAAATAAATACCAGATACTAGTAAAAATTCTTTTCATATGTTCACTGTGTGTGTGTGTGCAGGGAAGGGGGCAACAGGATTCTAACATGTGAACAGAGCCCATGAATGTACAAATGATATGTGCGTGGGATCTTTGCACTTGATTGAGAACCCTTCCAAAGTCAGGGTCCCTGATTATGCAAGCATTTGTACATTTGTGGGCTCTGCTCAGACCTGGAGGGCAAAGGCAGATTCAGAAGATGCAATCTCCCTCCATATGTGGGGTTGTTGTATGAACAATAATGACTGAATGTGACCAAATCACTGTTACTTGACAAAGACTATAGATTTGACCAGATTGTTTGCATACAGTAATTCACCACGAGTTGGTTTGAGTCTGGCACACCCTATGCCTTTTGGCAAAAGTAATAATAATAATAATTAATAATTATTATTTATTTATACCCCGCCCATCTGGCTGGGTTTCCCCAGCCACTCTGGGCGGCTTCCAAAAGAATATTAAAATATTGTGATACATCAAACATTAAAAGCTTCCCTAAACAGGGCTGCCTTCAGATGTCTTCTAAAAGTCTGGTGGTAGTTGTTCTCTTTGACATCTGGTGGGAGGGCATTCCACAAGGAGGGCGCCACTTCTTCTTTTCTTCTCCAAGAACTAGTGCTGATGCCCAAAGGAACTATTTGGAATAGATTTCTCCTCCTTGCAGGAATGGAACAATCTTAAGTTTTATATTATTTTACATGACCACCTTCTGCCAATTCCTTTTCCAACTGCACTACAATAGATGGAAGGAGATCCTATTTTCCTTCTCTCAACTAAAACAAGCCTCTTAGATACCAGTGTGGAGTTGCTCAGATTTCTACAAGTTAGTTTCCAGATACACATCCACCTAGTTAAGCTTTCAAATGGTACCTTTGATTCCAATAGAATGAAGTTCAATAAGATTAATTAGATTTTGTTTAGCATCATGAGATGGAACTTTCCACCTTCATACCAGCAGCTTGTCACTAAGGATACAGAAATCCGATTCCATTTGCATTAAAAGGCAAACTTTCCACTTTGCGCTTTCTAAAACAGTACATGAACCGAAACACACATGTCCCTGAATTTTGAAATGCAGTTCTTCAGCCAAGTCATGTGTACAGAAAAGTATACAGTAGGGTAAAGTGTGCATTTAAAAAAATGATAAATTATGAAAATATCATAGGAAAAATGCATTATATTAGAAGAACCCTTGGGGTATGTTGGGCAAAATTCCCTGGAAAATTGTGTATATTAGGATAAATTCACACAAAAATGCTGATGAATTTTCAGGTGGAGGACTAAATTTAAGATTGGGAAAGTAAGAAACTTGTCACCAACTAGGGGTGCTCCCTCTCTGATGGTGGATCAGCATGTCCACCAATTCCATGGGCCCAAGGAAGCAACAGGATTGCTCTCATGATGTGGCAAAGTCAGTTAAAAACATAATCATTAAAGGAAATCTTTCTTACCTTTGCTTTGGTCAAAGGATGAACATGTCGCTCTTAACCAATTCAGATGCTTTAGGTGGGGCATGATCTAGCCAAAACTAAGCACTTTGAAGTTCTGTTGATGAAACATGTACTTAAAGCTCTGCCACTGAAATTAATAAGACTTCAAAGTGTATTTGCATGTTGTATATACCTGAAACAAAGAGTTGGAAAATTTCAGAAGAAATGGGGGAATGTATATCTTATGAAAACAAAAGGACACAACCCAGGGGTAGGTTTTTTATTTTGTTTTGTTTGTGTAGGAGCAAGCTGGAGTAATAAATCAAGTAAAATTGAGTATTAAGATATTCATGTTGGCTCAATTTAAACCACTGGAAATGTGATCATACATTTGAGCAGTGATAGCAAATAGGCTTGTACATGTTTTTTCCTTCTGCATGTTAGGACTTTGAATATTTGGCTAATGCTTTATCATGGCTGAAGTTGAAAGAGACTAGGTATGTGTGTGAAAGCATAGAGGGGGTTTACAAAATGTTTCTACAGGCACACGAAGAGGAAATCCAACACTTTTAGTAGGAAATGTTATCTTAGGTAGGTTCTAACCATATAGTCTTGCCCAAGGCTAAATCTTGCAATGTTTCCACTAAGCCATTCAAATATCTTTTTATAAATAGTTAAACCACTCTTTTAATACTAATCTGCTGCAATATTTGTTTCTTGAAGTGCTGAAAATACAACATCTTCCCCAAATGAAAACATATGCTTAAGACTTTCAACCAAGGAGATCTTCTCACACAAAAGTCCCCTTTGAGCATCCTTTGTTCTAATTGTGTGGAAGTTTGGATTTTATGAATGCAGGATGGCAAGTCAGGCTTTTAGATATAGAGTGCAATCACAACACACATTCACTTCACTTTCACAAATTCAATTATACATGTTTGGCTCAACTGGTGGCAGTGGCCTTCCCAGTGATGGTTACAGCAGAGGTCCTCTGCACAGGGCTTACCTTACTTCCAGCAGGCAGTTTTTGGCTATGCATGATTTTGTGTTTGTGTGTTGCCTCTGGAAAGTACCATATTTTTCCATGTATAACACAAAACGACACCTATTTTTTGAGGCTCCAAATTAAGAAATGGTGGGAGATTGCCCAGAGTTTTAAGCTTTTCTTGAGGGGGATTGCTGATAGTTGTTGACCTTTTTTTTTGGGGGGGGGAGATTGCAGAAAATCACTTCCCTGCCTGACCAACACTGCCTATCACAACAAATCGTCTGCCAGCAGCAGTTGCCACAGCCACCAATCACCCGCCCAATTGCCGCAGCAGCAACCAATCAACAGCAGGCCTTGCCGCATCCACCAATCACCTGCCCAATTGCCACTGACAATCTCCTTCTCGCAGGTGCAACCAATCACACGTTCCCCCTCTGAACTATCCATGTATAAGACGACCCTCAATTGCTAATATTTTGTTATAATAGAAAAACTTCGTCTAATATATAGAAAACTACGGTAAAACTCACATGAGTTGTGACTGTACCGCGACAGCCCTGCCTTGCTTAGCTGGATCAAGGTAATACCTGCAACATGTCTGATGGCCGACTCAGGATTTTGATATGGTTGCCAAACATTATTATTTCTAGTTGTATAACTAGGAACACAGCCTTATATCAGTTCTGATTATTTGGCATCAAGGCCAGTACTGTCTACTTCAAGCCACAGCATGTCTCTAGGATCTCAAGCAGAGGTCATTCCCATCAGCTTCTTTATCCACTTCCATCACCTATCTTACCCTTTTAACTGAAGTTGCCAGGGACTAAGTCAGGGACATTTTGCTTGCAAACCATGTGTTTTAACCATTGGAGAATGGCCCTTCTTCATTCTGGCATGATATATGTACCACCTGAACTAATGTGCAGAGTGGAGTGCAATAATGCTTTGGATTTCATACTTCTCCAGTTTTTGTGATGCAGTTATAAGCTCAAATAATGGACATGCTTAAAAACAAATATTGTAGAAGGTTGCTCTTTGAGCTCAAATACATGTTGAAATATATGGATTTCTTTTTAAAAATCACCAATTTATGCAGAAATGTGACATAAAAACATATGAAGCTGTCACAGACTGGAAATAGAATCAACCATCCACCCTTTCCTCCTAAAATCAGAAAAGGAAGGTGATGTCTTATCCTTTGGTTTGATCTCAAAACCAGGAATTCAGATCTATATTGCCTCCATCCACAGAGGTACCATTGTATTATTGTGGTTAACAGTCACTGACAGACAGATCTATTTCCTATGAATTTCTTAGATCCACTTTCTAAGTTACCTAGGCTTGTGGGCATCATCACGTCATACACAGGTAAACCCTATAACTGAATACGTGGTGAATCTGCCGGTTCTTGTTCTCCATGAAATTCTAGTGTGCTTTGCAAATTCAGACTCATAGGTTCTGCCCCATGCAGAGGCTGGCCAATAAATGCTCTCATCATACTCCCCAGGTGCCTTTCCCCAAATAAGATAACTTGATTATGTGTGTGTGATGTAATTTGGCAGGCCCCAGAGAAAATATATATCCTTTTAGGCAATCCAAATTGACTTTGCAACTTATAAGCATTTATGTTCCTGCCTCCTCGCTAATATAGAAAGTGACAATGGAAATTTGAAGAAACAATCCTTCTCACTATTACAAATGTACACATGGTGCAAATTATGGTTTATATACCTAAGCCATTAGACATACTTTCTTGATATACTTTACGCAGTACAGCTGGGTGTGCCACAAATGGTTTACAAACATGTTATGCACCAATGAGTATATAACTAGACTATGTAGATATTATAAACATTTCCATTTTCATCTAGCAGGTTTTTTCCTTAATTGAGCTAAATTGATTAAGACTTATCAGTTTAATAAACAGATTGCCCTGCCAACTTCTGGCTTTCCTTCCCAGCCCTTTGTTTACAGCACTTCACTGCATATTACAGTCAGATCAGATTTATTTATATGGCGATAGACACATTGTAACTGGAGTAACAGGCCCCAAATAAAAGAGTATTACACGTACCAAGAAGCATAATACAAACAAGACATACAAAACCTTCTATCCATCCAAAACCCACTCTGAGATCAGAACTCCTATCTTGATATCCAAACTTAAAAAAAGGATACCCTCTTGACCTCTCCCTTCATACAGAATTCCAACATAATGCTGATCTGGCTACCAGGTAAATGCTTTTCAAAAGGGCAAAGATCTAATCCTTCCTAATGCCATTATATTATATGCAATAAACAAAGGGATTCCTACCAGATCTCGTCACAAGAGGTATGCTCTTTCTTCCAATGGGGTCTGGCTAAATCAACCCTCCATTAATGCTCCTGGCAGGAGATTAGGGTGTACCAGTATAAATGCTCTTCACAATTTAGGGAAGGTAAGAGAGTTTAGATACTTGTTGATCTGAAAAGATTTCCTGTCATCCAAACACAAATATATTGGGGAACAAGTTCCAAAAGAAGGGGCCTTCAACTAACCCCTGAAAATCCATGTCCTTAACTTGTTGTGTGCCCAGTTCAATCCCCAGCCCAGTATAGCTGAAGAAGCGTCTCCACCCCCATCGTTCTGCCCGGACACTGAGGTCCAGCGCCAAGGGCCTTCTGGCAGTTCCCTCACTGCAAGAAGCAAAGCTACAGGGAACCAGGCAGAGGGCCTTCTCAGTAGTGGCACCCGCCCTATGGAACACCCTTCCATCAGATGTCAAGGAAATAAACAACTATCTGACATTTAGAAGACATCTTAAGGCAGCCCTGTTTAGGGAAGTTTTTAATGACTGATGTTTTGATGTATTTTTAATCTTGTTGGAAGCCACCCAGAGTGGCTGGGGAAACCCAGCCAGATGTGCAGAGTATAATAAATTATTATTATTATTATTATTATTATTATTATTATTATTAATCATCACCACCACCATCATTATATTACACCTCTACATTACGCACTCACCCAGAGCACACCTTCCAGGTGCATCGCCCAACCCCAGCTAGTCCTCAGGTTTTTATTCCACATTCATTGCCCCTCTTTAACAGCCGCCATTTTCAAATGATTGTTATAGTGTATTGGTTCCAAAAACTGCAGAAGGTCAGCCGTGCAACTGATATCATCTATCTTGTTTTCTGATACATCCTGTAAAAACCTTTAAGGAGCTGACCTAAACATCATAGCTTGTTTCATGGAGGGTTAAAGTGTGAGGGGGACTTTGCATATTTGGCAAATTTTTTATCCCCTAAATTCAAGGAGAGGAAATTTGTGTGAATGGAGCTCCATTCACAGAAGGCCCTTCCATTCACTCAGTTTTGAGTGATTCACGTTACCATGAAAAGTGCCTTCATACATCCCTAAAGAGAGCAAAATATATCTCCCTGAAAAGATGCTAGTGCCCTCTTCATTTTTCTAAACAAGATGTGATCCTGGCTCTCACTGATTTATGAGGTGTTCAGACTGAGAAGATTTGCTTTGTGGATCCCTGCATGTGAATATGTTTACTGAAATGAAATAGCACAGACTCATTTTGTGAAATATAAAAGTTATGTCCACTAAAATGAAATGCTTGCCAAACTGTTTAATGAAATATTATGATGAGCTTTAAATAAGTAAGAAAAAAAGGTATGTTCCACACACTCAGACTATCTGATTTTAAGTCACTTCCAGTATTGGATAAATGAAGTCTTTTGAGAGGGGAATTTTGGGATTGGTTTAACAATCAGTCCCTCTTCAAAGTGAACTTTGGGAAGTCTAACTCTATGAGAAAATTAGAGGTCTCAGAACCCTTAACAAACTACAGCTCCCAGAATTCTCTGTGAGAAGCAATGGCTGATTGAAGTGTTATCATAATGCTTTAAACATATGATGTGTACCGCCCATGTTTAACAACAGCCATCAAACCCTGCACTAGCGTACTTGTTGACAAAATATAAGCCCAGTCATCCCACTTATACTTGTCAAAATGGACTTGAATAAAACTATTTAAAATATTCATAGTTCATTATGCTTTTGTTTTATAGCTTCTGAAGTGATATCTGCAATCAGATGGTTGATGTTCTTACATTCCCATAAACAAAACTGACTAGCTTTGTTAACTACTATATAAAGGCCAACATTATTAGGGACGTTTTCTTGGAGTAATTGTTACAAAATAGGCAAAGCAGCAATTAAAAACCGATGGCTGTTCAAGACCTAAGGGCCAGAAATCATGTAACAATAAATGGGTCACCATACCAAGTACAGTAAATCTAAACTGCTCCATGAGAAGCCTAGACTGTTAGGCCCCATTCACTAGCAGTTTAGGCTGAAGTTCTTCCATTTTCTTAAAAACTCCCAGGAACTTCAACAGAGATAAACTAAATAAATCCAAGCACTCTAAGTTTAACTGTCTGCTAAAACAAGCTCTTTTAGTCAAGTACATTTCCTAAGCAGATACAGGGATGTCCTTTCTCATGTTCATGTTGCTTTTTAAAAAAAGACTCTCCTATTACCTATAAGAGAAAATGGAGAAAGTGATTCAATAAATTCAGCAGGCACAAAGGGGTTTAGAAAGAAATCAAGTACTGCCTGCCATCTAGTGTTCTGACAGAGGATGTGAATACAGATTCTTAAGGGGGGAGTTGAGGGGTTGGAAGTGCATGGCCTTTTTGAAAACAGCATATTCCCTTGAAGAATTTAGGAAATATTAACATATGAAACATCCTTATAATGAGAACAGCAGAGAGAGAGAGAGAGAGAGAGAGAGAGAGAGAGAGAGAGTAGACACACACACAAACATTATACATATAAAAATCTTACATATGCAAAGTATGTGTGCTATGCCCGAGCAAAGTATCTGTGCAACGAATGAACCCTTCTTTTAATGATACCACATTTTGTTTCCATTCTATGCAAGATGATGTTAATAAAATATACATTTAGAAGAACCTCAGGTGGGAGCATTTTGACAGTGGATGCAAGATCAACCTTGGCTTCTATATTGCATGTGCAACTATTATTTGTACAACAATATATTTTGTATGTTTTAGCCTCTCCCACTATGTAGCTGGGATCATAATGGTTTCAATGGGGCAACCTACAAAACAGTAATCGTGTGCAGTAGTTTATAGTACTGAGTATTCAAAACTGAGGGAGCAATGGTGACACCAAGTGGCCAGTAAGACTGTGTACTTAATCAAACACAGTTATGTTCTTCTGCGCAGTGTAAAAATGATTTAAAATATTATCAGTGTTATACCATGGATAAAAATAAATAGGATAACAGTGCATTTAAATTGTGCAGCTTAACGTTTCTAGATAAGAGGACTAGGGAACATGTGTGCCTTAGTGTAAAAAAACTCCCCCCCCCCCCAGCTTTAAAAGGCAGTTTATATTTCTGTGTATCTCCCTCCCCCCTGGTTTCTTGGCCCATGCTACTCTATTAAAAGCCTAACTAATCTGTTTGTTAATATTATGCCTATGTGCATTTTAAAGGCTCCTACAGGAGATCAATATGGTGATATTTAAGAATCATCTTGTTTTCTTTTTATGTACAGGAATGAGCGGAAGGTAGGCTATGATTGATTGGAAGATTTTGGGACAGAGTGATTTCTAATCAATTACCAAGAATTACTCTCTCCCAATTTTTTCATCATAGCAGCAATAGAAAGGCCTTTCCCCCACTATCTAAAATTAGGCTGCTGAGATGATGAAAGCTGTAAGATGGGGGTCCAGGAGAGGATTGTTGTGTGACAAACAGGACTGTGAGTTCGGTTCCGGTACTGAAAACCAATTTCTGGTTTGAGCATGTGCACAGGGACATCCTGTTCCTTAATTCTGTGTTAAGGAATTCCCTGCCCCTTGAGCCACTACTTTGCACCTGGCTTTGACTGGGTTTCTATTAAAGGGGGGAAACATAGTTTCTGCAAGCCTGAAGTCAACCATCCATCTAGTTTCTCTAAATCGCCGCTCCAGCAAAATTCAGTTACAACCTACTCCAACTGACAGCGACAGTCTCTTTTTTTAAAAAAATAATAATTATTATTGCTTTTAAACCTTACAATAAGAAGTAAGGAAAAGAAAAAAGAAGAAGAAAAACAAAAGAAAAAACAATACAATACAATATATAAACAATACAGAACGCAACATTAACATTAACACATTAAACAAAACAAAAGCAAAAACAATTCAAAAAACACACATCATACCATCTCAATATCCTCTCTTTCATTCCCTTGTTTCATCAACCTCCTCTCACCTCCCTTTTTGTATTCCATTTCTATTAATTGTTTCAGCAAACCCTTTCCATCTTTCTCTATTTTCTGTCATGTAATTATCTTAACATATTTTAACCTTATTTTCCATTAATACTAATTTATACTTAATTCCTTAAAATATTTCTACTAAAGCCGTATAATTCCCTTCCAACATTTTTCTAACACTCATTAATTTTACATTATTTCCATATATAAATTTTAAACTTTTTCCAATATTCTTCCACCATCTCATCTCCCTGGTCTCAGGTTCTGCCAGTCATTTCCGTCAATTCCATAAAGCCCATCAACCTGGTGATCTTCTGTCCGAGGCTCTTAACTCTTTTCCAGGTCCCTTCTGCAAGTCTTCTTCATGTTTATACACGCACTTTACTTTGTCTTCTCCTGATCTTGTTCTTATTTTCCTTCCTTTGATGCTGAAAAGTAGATCTCCGGGAAATTCCCATCTAGCAATGTTGTTATTCCTTTTCGACAAGTCAGCCAAATCTCCATAGTTGGAACTGAAATTCAAAATATATTTCCAGTCGTGTTTCAGAGTTCCTCCAAGTCTGGCAGTCCCCACAACTCCAGTCTCCTCCTGACCCAAGTCCAGGTCCCAAAGGTCAATAAACCCCTGCATGAGGGGATCTATCCAACTTTCTTTCTCCAATCCAAGCGGGGCTCCAATCCTAAAAGTCTGACTTTCTCTAAATTCAGTCTTGGAAGGCATCAACTTATAATCATCAAATTGCAACTGTAAAGCTGGGGCTCTCTCCCTCACCACTTGTACCACTTTAGGTTCCACAACAAAAACTTTCTCCCCCCCCCTTCTCCTCGATTTGCCATGTCAAAATAGATCCCTGTATCGATTCCTGAATAATTTCTGTATTAATATTGACTTTTTGTGCCAAATTAGTCACTTTTTGTTCCAAGTTATCAGTTTTTATAGTCCTCGCATCCGTCTTCTTATAAAGCTGTTCCAGTGAATCATTAATCTTACAAAATGCAACCACTAAGGCTTCTCCTGTCAACATTCTTAACGATTCAAGGTCAATCCCAGATTCTCACAGTTTTATCTTGCAGATGGAAAATTCCCCAGCTCAGCTCTTGTAACAATTTCAAAGGCTTCCTCTAGGGGAAACAATTTCTATTTGTATCAATCCTTTTAAGCACAGTTCAAACAATAAAATTAGTTTCAATTTTCAGTTACTTTTACTCCTTTTTAAACGCAGAAGGAGACAATGGAAACAATGTATTTCTCTTCTTTAACTTACTGTCAGCAGACGATCTATTCACAGTCAATGAGCATATCCGAAACTTCAATCTTGCTAGCAGTCCGTTTCCAGGTTCAGAGCGGTGGTAATTTGACTTTCTTCACTCTCTCCTGCAGGCTTACACAATCTTAAGTTTCCCCCCTCTTCTCCTGCTTCCAAGGGGGGTTTGATGATTTAACCAATGGAAGTTTAATCCTCTGACAGCGACAGTCTCGAGGCTCCTCCAGTTGTTTGACAGCAGAACAGACTCCCTCTGAAGTTCCTTGGAGGTTTTTAAGCAGAGGCTTGATGGTCATTTGTCATGAATGCTTTAGAAGAGATTCCTGCATTGCAGGGGGTGAGACAAGATGGCCCTTCGGTACCTTCCAACTCTGATTCAATATTACTGCTGGCCGCTTGGACACTTTAGCTAACTTTTTTAAAACAACAACCCCCCACTTGTGTAACATTCTTCTGTTAAGACCTTTACACAGGGCAGACTCTTGGTCCAACCCTTCCTCTGATCTTCACTAGCAATATATTGTTTACACACCAAGGATGAATACCCTCTCTGCTATCCACCTTGACTGCAGCTCTCTAGCCTTTGCCTCACACCTCCTTCATCAACTGATTTTCCCAATGCCTTTTCCCAACTGGTAGTTATTTTTCTTGACAGCTAAGTGCCCATTCTTCACTAACCAGAACCTCCAGTTTATCAGTCTGCCGTTTCCCAGAGCAATCAAAATGAATTTACCTGATCCAAGAACTGTCTAAAGACCCATTAAAAACAATAGTCTCTCTCTCCCGTTTCAGAACTTGTCACCAATCAGCTACTGCTAAACAGTCCTGCACAACACCTCAGATTTTGACAGTTTCATATTGACACCCAATGCTTTTTTTTCTTTAAAAAAATTGTTTAGGAGTACTCTCATTTTCCTACTCATATTGAAATACTGCCCATCAGTGAGGCCAAACTTAGATTCACAAAATGTTTAGGGGTATGCATACCACTGCGTCCCCCCAGAAAAAAAGCACCGCTGACACTAGTCCCACATTGGGCAAAAATATTCCTGAATTGCAGGGGGTTGGACTAGATGGCCCTTTCCAACTCTACAATTCTATGAAGATCAACAGAGGTCACAGAATTTCCACCCTCCAAAGCACAAAACATAAATAGGCATAGGACCCATCTGCACTATATGTTTAAATCAGTATTATACCACTTTAATCCAAATAATCCTGCAAACTGCAATTTGTTAAAGGTACTGAGAATTGTTAGGAGACCCCTATTCCTCTCACAGAGCTATTATTCTCAGCATGGTTTAATTGTCAGTGGCCTGACCTCTGCTTGATTTTCTTTTCCTCTCCAGTATTTTATTTTGTTCATTGTTATATATTTTTCTGATATTTTGACTAATTTCTATCATGGATTTTATGCATTTCTTTTTTTTTCTGTATGATTCCAACCACCTAGAAACCTTCATTTAAAGTGGAACAAAGACAAAACAAAAATAACCTGAGACCTATAACCAAGGGTTCTTTGGATGGTACAAAATTTGACCTAAGTACTGCTGAATCCTGGAAAATCAGAAGGCTGTAAATAAAGCGATCTGCTTTGAAAGAGCTGATCAAGCTGTTAAAGGAATGAAATAATGAACCACACAGAGAAACATTTATTTCCACAGCAAGCAAAATATCATAGATAGCCGGTGGCAATTTCTGGAGCTGAGGATGAAATCCCAAATATGCGTAGGAAAGTCATAAGAACTGGTGTGTGTGTCACAAAGTTGTTTTTTTCAAGAGGCCTTCAGGTCAATGTAGTCAAAAGAACAGATTCAGCGAGGGGGAAAGGTCACCAGGGCATCCATAAGGCATACAAAATAGGAATAATTATAATCTTATTATTGAAACCAGACCATGTAAAGTATAAATGGTGTATTGACTCAGAAAAGCTGGTGTACTTATATCAACATACTAAGTACTGCACACTTGGTCTTAATAAAATTTTCACCTATTTCACTACAGGAGATTATAATAATCCTCAGTGTAGTTTTTCAATCATGTGCTCAGTTTCTATGGTCCAGTTTACAAAAAGATAAAACAAGAAAAAATTACAACCATACTAACATCTCCCCTAGATATTACCATTGAAATAAATGAATAGCATAATTAAGCTGGAAAACATGGCTTCTTAAAGCAAAATTTCTGTGGAAAAACAACCTGACCTGCCTACCATTTGATCTGCTGACAATCTCTGACAGTCAGATGCATCTCAGTTAGCCAAATCATATTTTACTCTCCTGGGATTGCTTTTGGCAAGCTTTTTCCACGTGGGAGGAAATGTGTTAGGGGGAAAACACATCAGTGAAACTTCAAAGCAGCAGCTTAAGGTGATCTTTTCATTTTCTTGAATGACGAACTGGCTCTACAATGCGGCTGAAGAGCATGCTGTGCTCTTCATGCCTAAGGTGCCTTTTAGCCTATGAACAAGGTAAATTAATGGAAATCACACTGGAAGCAAGTAAAACGTTCTGGCAGAAATGCTTGTAGACCTCGTCTCAAGCATCTTTTGTACTCCTCTTCAAGTTTGGCTCTCTCCAGTTGATTTGGTCAAATAAGAACCAATGTCTAGATGCATAATGGCACTACCCCGAACCTCAGTGTGAACAGGGATTCTGCAGCTCTGGCAGTTCTTAAAGCTGATCACACACAACTTTTCTACCTTTCCTCTAGGAATAAAGCTACAAAAAAGTAAAAACAGAAAAAACAAATGACCACTATTGGGGTTCTCCCATTAATAGCCTGGGTGACATGCAGGTAGGTTCAAACATTATCATGCCAGAAACTGGCAGCCCGTATAGGTCAGATTGAAGACTTAATACTGCTCCAGAACAATATGTTGTTTTAACAACTGTCAGCTCGTCTCTGTTTAGTACATTTGGAATTTGGGGAGTAGGGGAGGGGGAAATCACGTGAGAGTTACTAGCTTGCCTGACATCTTTCTGGCTTGATTATGAACATAGAAACAAGTCTTATAAATGAATCAAAATGGTCTGTTCAGCTTGGTATTGTCTACTGCAGCTGTCAGTGGTTTGCCATGGCTTCAGAAAGAGGAGCCTTCCCCAATCCCGGTTGACAATACCTTCCTCATGGGAAGCAGAATTTTCCATGAAGGTGAAAACTTGATTTGACAATTGGCCAGCTGAAATAATGTGCCTCCTAAATAATAAATACTTCCAACATTTTACACCTAGAATTTATTTAGCAACTGGAGACACTTACCCTCATTTATTCAAATAGGGAAGACAACATCTATTGTACTCACACTATAAAGTCTTCTGCCAAGCTGCCAGTTTCAGAACCCTATTCAACCATGAAATTCACTGATAGCTTTGGGGTCGTTCCTGCCCATTAATCAAGCCTACTTCACTGGGTTGTAGGAGGATGAAATGAGAATATATTGTAACCAACCATGGATTCTAGGGGGGAAAGAAAGTCAAAAGTTAGTAAGTTCTAGTAATGCTTCCCTACTGAATGTGAATTTTTTTTAAAAAAAAAATAGACTCATAGATGCTGCAAGTCTTAACACTGAATGTTCAACATATAGCTGTGCAAGGTATTTTCCATTTTCCTTTCTCCGAAAACTGCACTGCACTGACAATACAGTGTTGAGACTTGCAGCATCTACGAGTTCTGTGTTTCCATTCCACCTCCCTCCTCTTTTCTGCCATTGCCTTATGATCGCAAGTATTTGTGACCTACAGCTGTAAGGGCTTGAAGCCCAAAGCACACAAAAAATCTCTACATATGGCATCACTCTCTTGGCTGATTGACTGAGCTGCATGTAATCTAACGTGACTGATATGCTCAGATGTGATGTGACACATCTCTGTGCAGGCTGTGGTGCTGTAAACCATTTTATAAGTCAGTTTAATTAGAATGATGAGCTTCTTAGTAGGCTGACCCTACATTACATCAGCGGTCACTACCCCAGCACTGGGACACTATAATGCAGTGGCAATCCTATGCGACTATCAGCAGCAAAGCTGAATCACAAGGATAGCTCTAAAAGCAAAAACTGGTACACCACCAGCTTCTACAAAATCCTTGGCAGCTCCTTTCACCAACTACTGTGATGCTTGCCAATCATGACTCTTCAACAGCCAGAACACCTAGAAATTTTGGGTAATTAAGCAGTATACAGTATAAGTAGCTCAAATAAATAAATACATGGGTGGCAACTGCTGGAGCATTAGGCAGATGTCACAGAGCCTAGTCCTTCAACACTGCAAACTCAGACACACTGCTAGGTAGGGCGCCTTGGAGAAGAAAAGTTGTCCCAAGCAGTTTTGGTTTTTATTTAGAAGAGCTAAACATTTCTCTTTATAAATAAGTTCCTCAAAACTCATTCAGAACCATGTACTATGGGGTGCTGTCCTCTTTGTTGCTGTTGTTCCTATACTGAAACGGCCCTAGGTGGTGCTGTAGCCCAGTGGGAAAGTTTAGGCTTAGAATTCAAGAGAGATTGGGTAAGATCCTTGGCTATAACCTTTCCAGGGAAAGGGCTGGAGTGAAGCAGGCTGGCTGCAGCTCTCCAGGATTTCAGGAAATACTGAGACTAGGGCTTTTTCACACAAAGCAGGTGCTGTACTGCTGAGCTCTTCCCTGTGGACTGGAAGAAGCAGGACTCCAGACCACCGAGTAAGGGAGAGCTAGGATATGCAGGCAGTTATAGACCTTGGAATGGTTTTACAAGTGCTTTCCATGCAGAAACAAAGGAAAAGTCCATGGCTTGATGAATAAGGGAGGAAGAGGTTGCATGTGACTGACTTTTCTATACTGGGTTGAATATTTTATTGCCTTTCCCCTTTAGATCTCCAGGAAGCCCATCAATAGGTATATATTGAAGCTTTGATCGGCCTGGAACTGTGTGGATAAAGGTTGTTTATATCATCTGGAGCAGGCATCCCAAACCTTTGGCCCTCCAGATGTTTTGGACTACAATTCCCATCATCCCTGACCACTGGTCCTGTTAGCTAGGGATCATGGGAGTTGTAGGCCAAAACATCTGGAGGGCCACAGGTTGGGGATGCCTGATCTGGAGGGTCTACAGTATCTGAAGAGAGGGTGGGAGACTTCTCTGAACCAACAGGATATTTGTACACTTGCAGCCAAATTCACCCTTTGTGACTGCTCCTGTGCCAGATCACCTTTTCATGCAGAAAAAGAAAGAGAAGACTTTTTGAGTCAAGGTTAAGGGAAAGCACTCAAAATGGCATGGGAATGAAATCTCATGGCCCCAGCGCCCTGAAGTCCTTATTTCTAAACCTGAAAATATGGGTGCTTTCCCTAAGGGAGGGGGGATATGGCTCTACTGATTGCTATGGAGAGTCCTCTGCATGCAGATGTTGCACCCGGATGAGGAAGGATGATAGTCTATGTTTTCACCATCTGTCAACATGATTAGAAATAGTTTCTTGCTACCAATCCTTTGGGGCAGAAATTTAATCTGACCGCATATACAGACACAGGAGAGAATAAAGGCAAGATATACCAGACCATAGATTTAAACCTCTAAGCAAATGATCCTGAATGGACTTCTCCTTGCTCTCCTTCCCGTGCACATGAATCTGTTTTCTCTCTGTTGTTTTAATCTTGCAAATTCGTTTCCCCCCCTCCAATTGGTTTGCTCAGCAGTGATGATTATGCAGGAGAGAAATGGCAAAGGGGGTCAGGCAGCAAATGAATGAGGAGTGAAATCTCAAAAGATGCTAAATGAATATTTATGCAGCACGATCTTCACTCTCACATCACAGCACATAATGGGATCAGCAGAATTCCTGCTGGGTGAGCTGACTCTGTGAAAACTTAGTTTAATCTATACATTAGGTGGACACCCCACAAGCCAAGAGAGAGCCTTCAACACCATGTGAAATATTTATTAAAGATTCTAATTTCGAAATGTGTCTATATTCCGATAGGTAATAGGAAGGGGGAAGAATCTTGCATAATAATTCAAAGCTAAGGAAACTGAAGAAAAATGAATAGCTGGAATGATTTTCTGGCTTTGTGAGCGTTTATTAATCTCAAGTATTTCTTTAAGCAAATTAACTTTTATTAGCCGTTAAAACATGTTGGCCTATGCCTTTAAGCTGGGGTAGCATTAACAGGAACAGGTTCAGACATGGAACATGGTGCAGCTGCTGTGTGTGTTTGTGAGTGACTGAGTGAGATGGAAAGTAAGGAACAAGGAAAGGAGGAAAAATCATATTGTAAACTCCTGATGCCTTAGGTGATGTGTCCAACAAAGATAAGAACTTACATCTAATGTTTATTTTATTAAATTTATATCCTACCTCCCCAGAGGAAAGAGCCCAAGGCGACATCTTTGTTGATAGCACCACTTTCTAGCTGTCGCTGAATAACACAGTCAAGTTTCAAGCTCTGCATATACATGTATATTTGGATCAGATTTTCCTATGGTTTATTCAGATGTGAAGTTCAAAGACTGGCCCTCCTCTTGATTAAATCCTTTATGAGATTATTCACAATTCAAAGGCAATAGCATAATAATGTAACTGAATTTTACCTGTGCTTATGCTTATTTAATGGGTTTGTTTTTAAAAGATATTTTATTGTTCCTTATATGGGATATAAATATTGTTGGAAAAACAAGCATCCACCCAGTTTAACCATAAGGGATAGTTGGGGGTAGCCTTGTTATGGAGTTAGAGTATTTGTTTTCAGAGGAGGAAGAATAGATATACTACTGTTTCCCTTTGTCTATTCAAAGACTGAATGACAATGGATACTTCGTTTCATCTCAGCAATAAGTCTCAAGTTTAGACTCAAGTCTTAATCATTTGGTAAAACTCCGAAGAGGATTCTCCATATGTTACCTTGTTTCATTTTCTGCTGGATGTCCTTTTCTTTGCAAGTGGATTGTTATTTTAATAGCATGGCATGGTTAGGGGAGAAAGTTGTATCACTGGTCATTAGTGATGTCACAAGCACTATGCATTAGGTGCCATGAAAATCACATAACCAGACAACCCTGGTAATGGCATTCTTACCTATGTTACTATTTATAGTTACTATTGCATCCAGTATCAGGGAAAGTTGCTCATGAGTGGGACCATGTCACTGTGCTCATGTCCTGCTTGTGAAGAGGAAGAAGAGTTTGGATTTGATATCCTGCTTTATCACTACCCTAAGGAGTCTCAAAGCAGCTAACAATCTCCTTTTACCTTCCTCCCCCACAACACACACTGTGTGAGGTGAGTGAGGCTGAGAGACTTCAGAGAAGTGTGACTAGCCCAAGGTCACCTAGCAGCTGCATGTGGAGGAGCGGGGACGTGAACTCGGTTCACCAGATTACGAGTGCACTGCTCTTAACCACTACATCACACTGGCTCTGAGCTTCACAGAGGCATCTGGTTGGTCACTGTGAGAAGGAGATGCTGGACTAGGTTCCTTCTTGCATTCTTATATACCTGTGAAAAGAATCAGATGTTGTTATCCTGATAACAGTAAAGTAAAAGCAGATTTGAATGAATGTTTTCAATGCATTGTTGGTTTGAGAGAACCAAGATTTGCTCTCCAATACGATTGCCCTAATAAATATAATTCTCCATAGAGACTACACCCTACTTGTAGTCCAGATGCATACTATATGATGTCATTGTATGCAAAGATGAAGGTGGTCATCCTTTCAAATTGATGCCCTTGAGTAGAGAGGTGAGTCAGTAATGGGAATGGCCAGTAGCTAAGGGTGCAAGCCTATTTGTGAGGTGGTGGCAGTGACCATACATTAACCTCATGTTTATTTCCCACAGCTCTAAAAAGGGGATTAGACAAATAGACAAATGAGGCTACCAATGGCTACTAGATACAGGTAATTCTTCCAACTGTTTTTTAAAAATATGCAATGTTTTTATATGTGTTTTTATTGTATTATAAAATTGCAGTGGGGAGCCTGCTCTTCTCATTTATGCTAACTGCGTATTTTAGGAACCTGGTTTTCCAGAATTCTTAGACACGTGGGGAGCTTGCACAAATAGTTCCCTACTGCAGAGAGTCACCCTCTAACTTGTGGAGGGCAATGGAGGGAACACGAAACAGGATGCTTGTCCCCATATGATATTGTGTGGTGATAGGAACACCTTCTATAGCTTCCTGACTAGGGCAGACAGCTGTACAGCAAGCTACATCTGTCCAGATTCCCCCTACTACAAAAGTGCTAAGAGATGCAGAAGTCCTGCACACTTTTGCATTGGGCCCTCTGACTGGTGTGTTAAACTAGTAGCACTGGAATCCTTTTGTCGACATTTCTTTATAATTATACAAACTCACTTCCTCTGTCCTCACCCTTCTTGTGGGCACACCCGTGAACCCAGGCTGTGTACATGCTCCCATTTACTCTGCACCCAATGTGCTCCCACCACTAGTCTGGGAAATGGTTTGTGTACATAGAGCATTAGCCACAATCCAGATTGATCCTGTATCTATCCTGCTGTTCCTAATGAAATGGTGTGTTTTGATGCGTTTTCCCCAAACCAGTTTCAATTTGAATTGGGACAAAAGACCTAGCTGCGTTTTAAGCTACACAGCTATCATTTCCCTAATTCTGGCATTTGATAAACAATAACAATAGGCTTTTAGATGACTGGTGTTTATCCCGTCATTTATCTTTGCCACAATGTTATAAATACACAGAACTTAAAATATAAAATTTTATGACTTAAAAATAAATGTACATGTTTTATGCAGCCCTGATACCAGAAAAGAAGCCCTTGTTTTACTTCAAATGCTTCAGCTGCATTTTCGTAAGTGTGGGATTGGGAAGTTGTTGTTTTCTTTTGTTTGTTTGTTTTCCAGAGTGTTTTTTTTAAACTATCTCATTGGCTGGCACTGAACGGTTTGAGCTGTATAAATTAAGGAGACGTGTCTTTGTGTGCGTGCGTGTGTGTGTGTGTGTGTGTGGCGCCAACTCACTATTCCAAATCCTAAAGTGTGGGAGTGTGGATAATAGTGACAATCGAAATGCAAAACCATAAAACCATACCTTTGCAGATCTCCATAAATATTAATGCTGATGTTTAGTGATCTTGCTAATTTTATTCTTTTCTGTGCCTGCACTTCCCTTTGAAAAAAGCAACAGCCAGAAACATCTTTCTGACAATTTTCCTCCGTTAAAAGCTAGTGACAAAGGTCTCTAATACTTCAGATTATACTCAAGGGCTAAGATGCTTTTACAAAACACAAGGAACTGTTTGCTTTTATTCTGCTGACGTTCATTTTCCTATCTTTCATTGTGAAACCGGCTGAGCCTGTGGGCATGTGTGGATGGAAGATGTTAAAAATAGAAAGTGTAGCCTAACAACTGGCTTCTGATTGGCTAGCGACAAAATCTGCCTGGCCTATGGGAGCCGCTGAGAACAAAAGCAATTCAGCCTGTGTTTGTGTGAAGCGCTTTATCCACGTCAAAGAGCTCCCGGCTGTAGAAATTATTTTGGTTGCAGTTTAGCAAGGTAATAAGCAGCTCAGCCCGCCCGAGAAGGTTGAGGACAAAACAAAGGCGTATTAGCATCTACAAAGCACAAATGTTTGGCAATACAGAGCTGCGAATCCTTCGAAGTTCCAGGAAGGAGAGGCAAAAAAACCCCAATGGATTTTACAAAATGCATGCACAAACAAAAGACTCAAGAGATTTTGTTGCTTCCACCCCCCCTTTTTTGACCCCTCATAGCTTTTTCAAAATCACTGAATATTTCCTTGCAGCTTTCTGAACTCATTTACCCAAGTTTTTTTTTTAAACACACACACACGAGAGCAGCTTGGTGCCATGCTGCGACTTGTGTTCTGTAACCAACAAAATTGCCATTAGTAACTATGGCAATATGAAAATCCTGCAGGACATTCAGTTTGCTTTTCAGATGGGATAAGCATCAACTACACGGCGGAAATGGTTCCACTAGAGGCCACTGTTGGCCCAAAAAACCTCTAATGCTGTCACTCGTGAAGCTCAAGTGAAGAAACTCTACAGTTGCTATTGTTCCAATGGCTTGTGCATGTTCTTAGATACACATTATCTCAAAAAAGCAAGACTGAACGCTAAGGTGTATCGCTGCTTAGGTTCAAAAAAATTCCCACAGAATTCTTGCCAGCGGATTTATCAGATGTGGAAACCAGAGCAAGGAAGATGACTATGAGCTGGAATTTCCCCTCTCTTATATATGCAAATGAAGATCCTATCGGCAAGGGAGAGCCACAATCTTAGCCAACCACCCCAGCCACCAGACCAGTCACACTGCCGGATAATCTAAAGCTGAACTGCTTTCTCCAGGTTGCAGTGGGATAGTCAAAACAACAAAGGTCTGAGATGCAGTAGTGGCAAAATATTACAGAGAGGGAGAATTAGCTGAAGAATTGAGGGGCACAAGCCTTAGGAACATATGATGATTGGAAGCTGCCCTACACCACCTCAGACCATTGATCCATCTAGCTCAGTACTGTTTACACTGGCTGGCAGTAGCTCCTCCAGGGTTTCAGGTGGGAGTCTCTCTTAGCCCCACCTGGAGATGCTGGGGATCAAAACCTGGGGTGGTCACATGACATGCATTCCATGAGCTTCTTGTTGTTGCAGTTCCTCTTCACAATTCTTTCTAGGTTTTGGCACAGAAGCTGCTTTGCTCTCCCTGTCAGGGGAAGAGACAAGAGAAGTGTGTCCCTGTTAATTCTCATTGACCTCTCAGCAGCTTTCGACACCATCAACCATGGTATCCTTCTGGAGCGGCTGTCCGAGTTAGGGGTGGGTGGCAGAATGCACAGAAAGGTATACATTTCCTACAAAAGAGATATAGAACTTTTGATTCCTGAGTAAGCTAAAGCTATCCAATATTAGAAGCACAGAGGAAGGCAGCACAGCAGTATTTTTTAAACACGTGTTTTTATGGGCATTTTCTTTCTTACACATTGTTTTGCTCCTCCTCTGTCCTCTTTGGGCTCCAGGGAGGGTCTCCTTGCAAGCCACAAGGACTCTACAGTTCTTTCCCACCATTTCCTGGTATAATTCTATTCATTTAATTATTTCCCAACACCACATATATATGCAGACATGCACATGTAGAACGCATGTACAAGTGTGTGGGGGGGTGGATACCTGTATATTAGAGAACCACCAACTGGAATTTCTTTTTAAAGGGACAGTTTACTTATTCCAACATTTGCATTTTGGACACAGTGGTAGAGCCCCAGGAATCTTTAAAGGATATAGCCACACTGCGACCAAACACTGGCACCCATCTACTGTATTAATTTGTGGGCATTCATTTATGGTAATAGTAAAAATGCTTAATACTAAATGGATGTGGATTATAAACATTTAACAGCTAAACATAAAGGTGTCTCATTAAGCTATAATCTGCTTTTTAATAAACAGCAAGCCAAAGCACAATAAATGTGTTTTGTCACTGTGCATGCAATAGCATGATGCTAAAGTAAGAAATTGATGCTTTTGAATTATGGTGTTGGAGGAGACTCTTGAGAGTCTCATGCACTGCAAGAAGATCAAACCTATCCATTCTTAAGGAAATCAGCCCTGAGTGCTCACTGGAAGGGCAGATCGTGAAGCTGAGGCTCCAATACTTTGGCCACCTCACGAGAAGAGAAGACTCCCTGGAAAAGACCCTGATGTTGGGAAAGATTGAGGGCACAAGGAGAAGGGGACGACAGAGGACGAGATGGTTGGACAGTGTTCTCGAAGCTACCAGCATGAGTTTGACCAAACTGTGGGAGGCAGTGGAAGACAGGAGTGCCTGGTGTGCTCCATGGGGTCACGAAGAGTTGGACATGACTAAACAACTAAACAGCAACAACAAAGTAAGAAAATAAGGCCGAATACCCTTCTAGCCCGGGATGTGGGTGGCGCTGTGGGTTAAACCACAGAGCCTAGGACTTGCCGATCAGAAGGCTGGCGATTCAAATCCCTGTGACGGGGTGAGCTCCCATTGCTCGGTCCCTACTCCTGCCAACCTAGCAGTTCAAAAGCACGTCAAAGTGCAAGTAGATAAATAGGTACCGCTCCGGTGGGAAGGTAAACAGCGTTTCCGTACTCTGCTCTGGTTCGCCAGAAGCGGCTTAGTCATGCTGGCCACATGACCCGGAAGCTCTACGCCGGCTCCCTCAGCCAATAAAGGGAGATGAGCGCCACAACCCCAGAGTCGTCCGTGACTGGACCTAATGGTCAGGGGTCCCTTTATCTTTACCCTTCTAGCCCAGCATCCTGTTCTCACAGTGGCTGTCCAAATGCCTGCAGCAGCAATCAGGACCTGAGTGTAACTCTCCCCACCTCTGATACTCAGCAGCTATGATTCAGAAGCATACTCCTTCCTGCTGTGGAAGGTAGAGCATATCCATCATGGCTAGTAGTCAGTGATAGACTTAACCTCCAGGCATTTGTCTAATCCTCTTTTGCAGCCATCCATTGCTACATTTAATGGGAGCAAATTCCATAGTTTAACTGTGCACTATGCGAAGAAGTACTTAACTTTTGTCCACCCTGAATCTTCCAACATTCAGCTGCGTTTGAGTTATTAAAGATTCAAATGGTATAGTATGTAAATACCAATGATGGGATCAGACATACTGGATTAACCTTTCTACCTTTGTTCAGCTGAAAACACTAAGCGGTTACTACATCATGGATGTGCACAATTAAATTGGGTCTTTGATAGTGAATAACTGAGCTCATGTGCAAAATGAGAAGACTGACATTTAGACATAACGTTGGATGGAGAAATCATTCCGTCTCAGTTGAGTAAAATATTTAAGTAGAAGCTTATACTTTGCTCAACTGAGGTCTCGTAGTCCGTTATGGAACACTTATTATTTCCTTGTGACATATAGCTGAAGAGCTTACAGTGGATGAAGCCCAATGAATTTTATTACTGCATTCTGTATATCTGTAAGGGATTCTGGGAATGAGGCTTTACTCAGTAATATTTACTGGGTGACCTCAGAGTTGGAGAGCAATCTGAAGCCCTAGCTGGGAGCAGTGGGGCAGAATGGAGTGCCAGATTACTGCTGCATCCAGAACGCTGCAACTTCAGCTGACAGGGTGGGGAGCTGGCTATTTCAAACTACTTCTTTTTTCTGTGCTAGGCTGGGTCCAGGCGTGTGTGATGGACTGGTCCAAACTGGGCCTTCTCTAGGAAATGGGTTCAGCTTTGGATCCAACAGATCCATCACCAACCTGATATGATCATTTTGGCAACAACAAAAAAGCACCGCCTTGAAATCTCCATCATAATTGATCATAAACTAAACATGGATCTGCTGCAGGCACTTTTAGCACTTGAGAGGGATCTCTACCCCAAGATTCCATCTCAGGCCTTGGTTTCTTTTCTGATAGCCACTGCCAGAATGGAAACAGCAGTCAGGTGGAAAACAGGGGCATGTCTTACTTTGTAATCTTGGTTCATCCATATATGAGAAATAGCATTCAAACACTTGACTCAGCAAAGCAGGGCAGAGCAAGCAATACAAATTTCTAAGTACATGGTATTTGTTTATTGAGTATATAAACAAATCAGCCTCATTGCTTGCAGCGGTTCTCAACCTGTGGGTCCCCAGATGTTGTTGGACTACAACTCCCATCATCCCTGAGCTCTGGCCTTGCTAGCTAGGGGTGATGGGAGTTGTAGTCCAACATCTGGGGACCCACAGGTTGAGAAAGGCTGGCTTACAGCCTCCCATGATACATATTTTGCTATGGAAAGTCTTAATTCAGCAATGAATTACCATTGTGTGTCCCTTAATTATGACAAATGTGATTGACAAACTATACTCCAAGTTTTGTTTAGTTTGTGTTTATGCTTCTTCTGTAAAAGAAAGTGTAATAAAATACATTTTTAATTCAAAAAATGGAGTTGGGAGGATGCTATTGCACCAGCTGAATTCAGCTCATCTTGCAAAACAAAACCACACTCCAGACTTACTCATATGAGCATCCACTAGCCATAACAGGGGTTAGATCAACAAGTTTGATGCCAAAATACACATCTATTTAAATCCCCTGGTGATTCAGAACAATCAGCACATTTGAAAACCAGACCAGCTAACTATGAACTCAGTAATATGATTCCAAGCTCTACAAATAAATAATAATAATAATACAATTCTGCCACAAAGGAGAAGACTGAAAAATGTACAAATTTAAAATTGTAATGTATTTGTGTGCTGAGATTTTGTGGTGCTCTTTTGTAAGATTTATTAATGCCTCCTGAGTGATCTTTTTAAAAAAACAATTGTTCACTGTTTTTTGCTTTCTGCATCCTCATAAGCCCTGCTGTTAGTTTTAGATTGTCCACCCATTGCATCAGTGGTTGTCCCCTTGGTCTTTAAAATTGTAGGGTCTCCATGCTAACACTGCTTTAACCCATTAGCCTAAGTCGGTCTCCATGCTAACACTGCTTTAACCCATCAGCCTAAGTCATCTCTTGTCACATGTCCTACATATGTCTATTTTAACTTTGTGAAGCTATAGCTGAGTCTGTGAGATATATATATATGTATATGCTTGAAAAATGTATTCCATGCAAATGGAATTCTAACAACTCCTTAATAGCACTCCTTAATGCAGCAATAAGATTATTTTCATTGCCCACTACAGAGATACAGCCAAACCCTACTGGCTGGAGTTCTTGGGCAGAAAAAGGAATGAATTTGCTACCAGATCTGATCCAGGTGCATAGAATTAATAAAACGGATAACTGTTTTTATTCTAATATATTGCATTTCAATACATCAACCATTTAATACATACTCAAGTATATTAAAGATAGACAAAGTCCACATTTACTTTACATGCAAAACTAATGTAGTACTAATGTAAAGATACTAGTCTAAATAAGCAGAGTTAAAGACTTCGTTCTCCGAAAAGTTTGTGGTAGTCTGAAACCGCCCTACTTGACTGATTGAAGAGCCAAACTTAAGCATGCCAGAGATGGGGAAAGTTAGAGATAACAGTGCTGTGTGCATTGTACTAAGAATCTATTCAGAGAATCAGAGAATTGTGGAGTTCGAAAGGACCCTGAGGCTCATCTAGTCCAACCCCCTGCAAAATCTCAACTAGATCATACATGACAGATGGCCATCCAGCCTCGACTTCCAAACCTCCAAGGAAGGAGAATCCACCACCTCTTGTGGGAGTCTGTTAAGGTAAAGGTAAAGGTACCCCTGCCCGTACGGGCCAGTCTTGCCAGACTCTAGGGTTGTGCGCTCATCTCACTCTATAGGCCGAGAGCCAGCGCTGTCCCTGACACTTCGGTCACGTGCAGCGTGACAAGCATCTGGCGAGCCAGCACAGCACACGGCGCCTTCCCACGTAAGCGGTCCTATTATCTACTTGCACCCGGGTGCTGCTAGGTTGGCAGGCGCTGGGACCGAACGACGGGAGCGCACCCCGCCGCGGGGATTCGAACCGCCGACCATGCGATCGGCAAGTCCTAGGCGCTGAGGTTTAACCCACAGCGCCACCTGCGTCACTTTACCCTAATTAATTTACTCCTATCCAATCTAGCCATCTACCTAATTCTACTATTTGAACAATATAGAAGCAAAAAGCACATTAGAAACCTACAGCAATAAAGGCCATTAACATGATCGGATATATTTTCAGAAATCAAAAAATTGATGCCAATTCTATTTTTTTCTTTCTACCTTCATAAATCATACACTGAACAATATATCTGTATTTTTAACCATGCAGCTTTTTAAAGTTTTGGTCTCCATTAAACTGTCATCTTTGTCAGAACTCTATGAGCATGTCACAAATAATTAAAAGCCTCCTCAAAAGACAATTTGAGATTCATTATTGTCAGGGGTTCAGGAGCAGAGGCAAGGGCAAGGGAGGAAACAGAGAGCGAGGGGGAGGAGGCAGAAGAAAAGATGAGTGATGACGACGACCCGAGATCTCCGAGTCTTTCCAGTGAATCAGAAGATTCACAGAAAGGAGCACCAGTGGCCAGGGCAAGGGGAGCCTAGGGGGCACCCCAGGAAGATAGAGCCAGAGGGGACTCAGAGGGAGCAGTTGGAAATCGGGACCAACGTCACCGCCAGAGAGCAGGGAAGAGGAAGGGCGCCAGGGATCAAGCGCTGGCAACTCACAACAGGGGGGAGGGCACGAGTCAGGAGTGGCCACACCTCCATCGGGGAGCGAAGAAACGGTCAGACGGAAGGTGGACGGTGGGGCGCGCGCGCCCAGTTCAAATGCACAGGAAGGTGGCGCAGTAGGCAGCCCGGAAAGGGAGCCAGGTCCTAAAGCCCGCCGAAAGGAGGGAGAAGAGTCAGGGGAGTCAGCGTCAGCGTCAGAGGAATCCCGGAAGGAAGAGACCCCGGGGGGCAGAGGGACCCAGAGAAGAACAGTCAGGCGGAAAAGGTGGAGCAGGGCTAGGATATTAAGTTGGTGTACAAGGGGCGGAGACTCAGACGGAGCTTCGCCGGTCTAAGCATGAGACGTAGAGTTGCACGCAGCAGCTTGAGAATGGAAACTGTAACTCAATAAAGACTTTTGTTTAATGATCGCTGGCTAGCGTGATCCTCTGTGAGCTAGGATCTGGAAGCAGCTCTGACAATTATCGATCAAGATTCTGCCTCCTCAAAAGAAGGCTATCATTTTCATGGCAGTCAGAAGACATGTCCCTTTGAGGAGGACGACACTTGGCCTTACTCCAGCTATTGATATTTCTAAGTGATTAAATCTGACCTCAGTGTTGCGTGCCACACCAAGAGCTCCTATTATATGTTCCATCTTTCGGTAATGGGCTTTGGCAACTGCCTGTCTTTAATCCACATAGCTTCCTGCTTTTGACTGAAATAATACACAGTCTATAAGCATCCAATAGTGGGATCAATTTGTTAAATGAAGTTTTTGGAAGTCTCTGACTCCTCTAGAGAACCTGTCACAGGACAAGTCACACACCTTTGCGATGGACACAGAGCCACTGCAGACGTTCCAGAGAAACCACAAGAAAGCAAGGATATGTCGTTTGCACTTAACCCTCCTAGTTTCTTAGTGGGTGGCCACGTCTTACGGTGGGAGGTGCACCTCTACCAAAATGAAGGAAAAGACTTTGCCTCTTCCAGTTTCACATAACACCCAAAATGCATGAGGAGACAAAGAACAAGCTTGTTTGCCTCAAATAAAGCAATAAAGTAATTAAGATTTTTTTAAAAAAAATTCTTTCATGACATCAACTATTTAAAACATCAAAGCATGAATGTGTAGATTCAGATCAGAAAATGATTAAAGGGAAGGGGCTTAAAAAACCTAAATCAAATTTAAACCTAAAACCATTTCAACAAAACCAAATAAATTCAGATGCAATTACAGATATTCCACTGCCTCCTCTAATAGCATTCTCAGCAGTAATCAGCATCTGAAATACCCTCCAAAATAGAAGTTGGCAATTTCCCTAAAACTGTGGAAAGAATATATCTATAAGCTCCCCTGTAAGTAAGCCTCCCTGGACATGAAATTTCCATAACTGGAGCACCACTACTAAGAAGGCTTGAGATCTTGCCACCTCTTGCTATGCCTCTGATGCTTCCTTTCTGCCCACTTATCTGGAACATGGAAAGTAATTAATTCTCTGAGCAGCGTTCAGTGTGTCCTTACTTATCCATAGAGTGGTTAGAAATCAGTGCTCCAGGGACTAAGTGAGAGATTTCCTAATCCAACATGAAGCCATTCATAGCTGTGTTGAAGATCAAACAACACACCTCAGACACAAATTCCTTTTCCTCCTATTGTTGAATCATGAGTATATTATAGAGACGCCATCTTAATTTCTTTGCTCCTGTATTTCAGATATTACTACTAAGTAAGATTTGCTTTGAGTATCCTGATATTCTTGCTGCTGAATGTTCCCCAATACTGCATTCTACACTATTTATGAATATATATATATATATATATATATATATATATATAATCTGCCTGATTATTAATCTGTTCTTTGTTTCGCTTCCATGGTTTGGTAACATGGTTGCCTCTTATTAGCATATGACTTCAGACTCAAATTCTTCCTCATCTCCTTAGACCATGACTTATCATACAATCCCTACCTGTGTGAATTTCGCAGCTGAATTCTCAAGTGTTAACTGACTCCTAAACCACCCCTCTTCTTTTTAAAAAATCCCATATATAATAAAAAACAGAACTTGGAGATCATTAACCATGGCATGAACATATTGTAGATCAAATGTATACAAGCAGAATAGGACGGTGTAATGGAGACTCGCTTAATTTGCCTAAATATCATTCTTCCCTTTCAAAGAAACATCATGCACTGTGGTAGTCAAAGTTCAAGGTATAATTTCTCACTTGGCAATATACTATTCTACAATTTACAAGACTTCCTGAGCATTTACTTCTACATCACAACTAGTGTTGTGCTTAATATTTCTTCCGCATTTTTTCAGCCATGCAATTTATGAGAAAACCAACAGCATTTAAGAAATACACAAGGGGACAGAAAATGTCAGAGAAATTCTTACGGGTATGCCACAGTATTTTTATTGCTCTTGCCTTGCTTTCAAAGTGGCCAAGCGTTGTTTGTGAGTGTCCTACCCATTCTACAAATCAGCTCTCTGGCACTTTGCATCCCCCCAGGTGCTTGTGTTTTCTAAATACGCCATGGCATCCTTAACTGGGATTTCCTGTAAACACAGGAAGGTGCGGAAGCTGCATACAGAGTACCTGGCAGCTGTTTTACAATTGAATCTTCATGTTTTGCTTTGATCTTTCAAGAAGTAAGTGAAGTTTTTCCTTCAAGGTAACTTCCATTAAAACAAAACAAGTGATCACACCAATCTCAAGGAATTCACTAGCCAGCTTCTCGTGCTTCAAATGAAACTCTGAAGAAGACACTGGGCATTTCCAGACTGAATCCCAACCCTAAAAGAGTGACAATCACATACCAACAAATTCAGGTAGCACAATTATAATTGACTGGGAGGTTTTGCACAACAAACCAGCTTCCTCCAAAGATTGAACTTTTTGCAATAAGCAAGGTGATAGGAAGATGCCCTGGAAAGTGTGGGATAACACTTGCTTTGATGCACCATTGTGTTACTTTTCCATAAATAAGAACACATACTCATGAAGTAGCCATTGCTGTCTAATTTCCCTGTAAACAAATCAAGATGAATGCTCAATAAACAGGTCACATGGAAGCACCAATTTTGAGGTAGCTATGGTTTGTTTTGTTTGTTTGTTTGTTTGTTGTATATCAGGAAATGCAAGCAACTAGGGAAGAGGTAGAGTGCTGAAAAAATGTTTATTGGAAAGAAGCATTCGCATACCAGCCAGGGCCACCTAGCAACAAGAAAGTAAGCTCAACCAAATGTGCACCAGAATCCTGAAGGAATTCAAAAGCTCCTTGAGCATGAAGGAGCAAATAAATAAATAAATAAATAGAGGCCTCTTTCACAGGGGAAGAGATCTTTTACAAAATTGAGGAACAGGTTTTGGCACAGCACTAATATAAACTAAGGGCATGTAAAACCCAGAGGCAACCTGATAATTAAATTAATTGCTCAGTTGTCATGTAGCCAACACACAAGATATTAAAAAGTCGAGTGTCTGATTCCACTTCATATGCACATGCCCATACAATGTATTGTCTTAAAGTGTGTGCATCGTTTGGAGCTCTTTAGCCAAGTGTTATTTTATAATGTGGTTAAGGTACTTGCAGGGTTTTTCTCAAAGACTTCTCCAAATCTTATCATTAAGCCACTATAAAACATCAAAAAACAAAACAAAAACCTCAAGCTAAATTACTTTGTATACAATGCTTATTATGTCTCACTTCAAAGCAGATCTCACATGAAGATCATATATATCAGAAAAGGAGAGGGCAGAGACAGGGTGGTTTATACTGAAAGGAGGAAAAGGCATTTACAGAACAGAACGCAGGTGTTGGGGGGACAGTAAGCTGTTATATTCTTGCCTGTTTAACTCTATATCTAAAGTTGTCTAATATAGAGTAGTCACTTGAAGCTGTAGAGAATGAAATCTTGTCCCTTCAGTTTTGCAGTTAATGCATCTCCTCCTTTCACCATTCATAGGACAGCATTGCTCAGCCTGGTGTTCTCCAGATGTTGTGGACCACAACTCCCATCAGCACCAGCCAGCATAGGCAGTGGATAGGAAGGATGGGAGCTGTAGCCCAAAATTAGGAGAAGTTGGCGTATGAGATCCATAGTGTACAGCATCTTAGTGTGAAATGGGCTGCAGAATAGTGTGTCTCAGTGATGAAATGTTGCCTGCTCTTAGCACAACAAAGGTGACATTTAAGCAGTGATTGTCTTAGCCAACATACAGCTTTATGGCAACCATTTTCTAATCTTAATTACAGAGTCCCTGAATGTAGTATAATTTGTGCCAAAAACTAGTTCACACATGTAATTTGAAAGAAGTCTGGCATCTTGCTCTCAAACTTACTTTGTGCAGTGATTATTTTTTAAAGGCAACCAATAAGTGACACATTCCCCCTGTTTTGAAAAACAGAAATGGACTTTTAATGCCTATCTAGCCAGTCAAACTAATGTGTGTTTTCTGTATAACAACCAAATGAGAATCATTATCAGCAAACATTGTTTGAGGTAAGCTCAAAAACCAAAGCAATGTGATATTTGAGTTAGTTTCGCATGCAACAAAAAACCCCAGGTTGAGTTCCTGGCATTTCTCAGTACAGAGAGTTTCTGAAACCCAAGACAATTACTGCCAGTCAAGGAAGCAGTAAAATGAGCCAAATCTGCAAGTAAGTAAGTTGCTATGGACCTTTGCTTGTGAACATACTTGTGAATAGACATTGCAAAAGAATCGGCCCATAATAAAGGGAATTGCTAGATTAATTCTTTGTAAGTCACCAGAAGGCCACAAGTTTCTTATCCCTTCTCTACAATACAATCAACATGAAAGAAAGAAAGAAAGAAAGAAAGAAAGAAGCCAACTCAGGACACGTTGTGTTAAGCCAGGACACTCTTAATGTGCCCTTTTCATATCCCCTACATCTGTGCATCATGCCTGGTTAATCACCATATTGTGCTTATTTCTTAGGCAGTTCTTATACATGCGGGCCCTACTGACATTTTTCAGTTATTACTAGGAGTTATTTTGGAGCCTGCTGTGAGCTGTGATGCAGTGGCTGCTGCTGCTGCTGCTGCTTTGGTGAAGACATAGTTACGAGGTGGATTTCAGCCTAAAGGTATACATATGTTCCTGCTGCAAATAACTGTTTGGGGAAGAGAGTTTTGCTACTGATACTTAGTCACATTGCCATTAGCAATAACTTTTTGCTGCCTTCCAAAGAGTTTCTGTCACTGCAGGCTGAGAGGATAAATGTCCACTCTTCAAGTTTCCGTGTCTAGAGCACATCACTTGTTGTTGGTCTTTTCAGATTTCCCTGATGGGCAGAGGCTGCCTTTTTGGCTTCAGCAGAAAAATAGGGTCCACATTTATTGTTGGACTACAGCTCTACAGTAACCATCCCTGCCTGCTGGCCACGCAGGCTGGGGCTGATGGGAGTTGGAGTCCAACAACATTTGGAAGTCCACACATCCAAGATATAGAGAAAAGAAGCATATCAAAGGCAGTTCTCTAATCAGCTTAACTACAATACAATACAATCGCTAAAAGAAATAATTGCATGAACTCTTCCAGGATGAAAATGCTTAGAAAGCTTTATTTGCACGTGGTCCAAAGTCTTAATTTGTTTTACCATTGTGCAAATATTCATGGAAGCAGAAACTCAGTTTCTTGTTTTTAAAAGCCTTCTGCAAATGACAATGTGCAGAAAGTTTTATAGTCTTTATCTGGTTCATGCTCACAGGAACCAGGCAAGATGGAACACAGGAATCCTAGGCTTATAAATGAAAAAATGGGAAAACATTCAGTAACTTAGTTATTAATACGATTTTATGCTGCTTTTCCTCATGAAAAAGTTCACAAAGTGGTCCTAAAAATCCAACTGCAACATTAAGCAGTACAATACAATTGATGAAATTTAAACAACTGAAACAGAAGCAATGTGATAAAGCATACTATAATATTAAGTCATCATAAAACTGACAGAATCGGACTGAATTAAAATGTAAAAATCTGTAGATTGGATCAGCAACTTGTCCAAGGCCAACTCATCTGGAACCCCTTTCAAAGGCTGTACAAAAATAGTAAAGTATTATGTGTCTTTCATGTTTTGGGGATACTAAGATTCCAAAGCGTAACAATGGTTGAAATTACTATAGTCTCATCTGACCTTCTCATTTCGCAGTACAAAATTCATTAACAATATATTCCGAGAGGCAGTAGCTCAGGTGGCTTTCAAATGAGTAAGAGAAATCCACTTGATCATCACGAAAGCTCGACTTCCGGTCGAGCCACGGACCCATCGCAAGCGGGATTTTCTCAGTAAGAGAAAGTCCGGGTTCTCAAGGGTAAAAGGGGGTGCTACAGGGCGTGATAGCCCCCCAAAACCCCTCTGGAGGGAAACCAGAGGGTCAGGATCCCAGCGGAGCCGTTTGCAGATCGCCCGGCCACCAGGTAACTCTGTAATAGGAGCGAAGAGAGCGGCGGGCGGAGAAAGCAGGCACCAGGAAGCCGTTGTCTCACCCTCGAGAACGCAGCCCCAGGCTTGCAGGGTGAGTGACCGATTCTCAAAAGCAATCAATCGGAGCCTAATTTGGATTACAATTGGAATATGAAAGAAAGGCTTTGAAAAAAAAAAGGAGATAAAAAAGAGGTCAGTTTTGACTGCAATCGGAGAGGAGCGCAAGACTACGAGTGGAGCGTGGAGCGGAGGTTGGTAAAACGGCAAGCGGTTTGAGTTTCTCCCTCTTAGAGAACTTGTTAAAAGTGAGATAAATTGTTGCAAAAGTAACAAAAAGTTGCAGAAAAAGAGGGTAACTACTTTGTGACTTTAAAAGGTCTTTGATACAACGAACGGTCTGAGCGAAGTTAGAAAGAAAGAAAGTTACTTCTTGGTACTTTCGGTTTTGGAAAAAAAACTGCGCAACGAAATAGAACTTTTGTTTCTCCATTTTAAGTTGAAGGAAGTCATCCAGCGACAAAAAATATAATAAAGGGATGGAAAGACAATATTGAACAGTAATTTTTTTTCTTATATGATTGGATACCTCTGCATTTAATTTAATTAAATTTGAACGTTTAAATATAAAAGGAAAGAAAAAAGGACTATGTTGGAATGAGGCTATCTACCCAAGTTGTTTTTGCTTTTTTTTTTTTTGCTTTTTTTTGTGAGTCCGCAGAATGAACTGAGAAAGAACAGCTTAGCTGTCTGTCTTCAGTACTATATTTTTATTTGGAGCTAAGGAAAATTGGAGCTGAACTAATCACTCCTCCGTGTTTCATTTTCATTTTTATTTTTCATTTCCCATTATTGGATTAGTCTGGAATGTCAAACTAAAGATCACTCTTCTTTTTCTCTTCTCCCTCTGTTTTTACATCTGAACTTAAAATATTACTGTTTTCACATTTGAACTCAAATATCACTCCAAAATAAGGAGACTGGCAGCCTTTACAATTATTGGTGGTCAGACTCCTTTAGATACTTCTTCTTTATTTCCTACTTCTGGATACACTTGGTGCCCCTTGGACATTTCTGGATATAATTGGAACACCTATCAGTATTTTTAATAACTTTGGCCACATAATTGGATTATAATTTTGGGAATACAATATATAACCATTGGATTACAAAAATTTAGACAGTACAGCAGCATTATTCGGAAGGTATTTCTTCAATAAGAAGTCGGTATGGATATAGCCTAAGTGGTGGCAAGAAGAAAGAAGAAAGGAAGTTAATTTCTTTTTTGCAGTGGGAGATTGATCTTTCAAAAGTGTGAATCTTAAAAATTTATTGGTGTTCCCCCCTATAAGTATATATTTGTGAAAACTATTTTGGAAAAACTGATATACATAAATTGAGTAATATTTGGGTTTAAGTGCATGAGAATTGGGAAGGGTAAAAATTCTTATTTTTTTCTTTTGACGCCTTTCTTTGAAAAGAAGTGATTTTATGATTTATATTAAGATTGAATATTGATTGTTATTGATCGTATATATATTGATTGTCTTTGACTGTATATCATATCAGGTGTTCGGAAATTAATTACAATGTCTCATACACAAAAGAAAGGGGGGGGGGACACCGGTAGAGAGGAGAGGATCAAAACAAGAAGCGGACTTTAAAGGAGAGATTTTGAAAATGTTTGCAGAGATCAATTCCAATATTAAGCAGAGTGAAAAAAATATAGAAGCAAAATTAGAGCAAATGGACAAGAGAATGGGCCAAATGGACAAAAAAAATTAATGTTACAGTTAATGAACTGAAAGGGCAATTGAAGGATGTGAGTAAGAGGACACAGAATTTGGAAGAGGGGTTGAAAAAGACAAGATTGGAAATGAGGGAAGTGAAGAAGGAGGAAGAAAAAATAAGGACGGGAATGTCGGAAATTAATAAAACACAAGAGGAAGTCTGGGATGCGATTTCTATGAATGAACTCAGGCAGAGAGAAGTGAATTTAAGATTGAGGATGGTTCCAGAGGTGCAAGGAGAAAATATTAAAGAGAAGTTAATAAAAGAGATTGCACAATGGATGGAGATGAATGTAGATGAGGTGGCAAGATCGGTGCAAAGTGCTTTTCGAATGAAGATAAGATCGGCTAAGGCAAGAAAATTTCCGGGGGACTGCCTGATTACCTTTAAGGACAGAGAGATGAGAAATTTGATACTCCAGAAAAATAGAGAGAACAGGCTGAACATTGAAGGAAGCTACATAAAGACATCCCGATCAGGCTACTTAAACGGAGAGACCCATATAAACCAACAGTTCAGATTTTAAGGAAGAATAATATAGAATTCAGATGGGAATACCCGGAAGGAATCTCTTTTATTTACAAAAGTAAAAGACATAGACTCACGAGCCCGGAAGAAATAGGAAAAATTTTAAGAAAATATAAAGAGTTGCGAAGTGATGAGGAAGAAACAAGAGAAGTGGAACCAGGAATGGAGGCGGCAGGAGGAGTGGACCCGGATGAACAAGAGGAAGAAAGAAAGAGGGAAGAAGAAGAGAAAGAAGAAGAAGAAGAAGAAGAAGAAGAAGAAGAAGAAGAATTATAAAATTTGTAATAAAGAATTCAAAATGGCAAAAATGGAGCTAAAATTATGGACTTGGAATATTAATGGGTTAACGATTAAAAAAACGAAATAAAGTCGAACAACATTTAAAAAAGAAAAATTTGGATATCATTTGTCTACAAGAAACTCACGTGGCAAGAAGACATAAAAAAAATTTAATTAATAAAAGACTGGGAAATGAATTTATATCTTCGGATAGGAGTAAAAAAAGAGGAGTAGTTTTGTACATCAGAAAAAAAATTGAAGCTCAACAAATTTTTTAAGATGAAGAAGGCAGAGTTATGGCAGTTCAAATTAAGTGGCAAGGAGAAAAAATAATAATTGTCGGGATCTATGCACCAAATGGAAACAAGACAGAATTTTATAAAAATTTAGAAGAAAGATTGTTCGAATATATGGATCAGAAAATTATAATAATGGGAGACCTGAATGGAGTGGTGTCAATGGAAATGGACAGACTGAGAACAACAGGGGTGAGCAAAGATGGGAAATTTTTCTCAATGACTAAGAATTGTAATTTGATTGACATTTGGAGACTTAGACACCCACTGGAGAAACAATTCACATTTTATTCAGAACCAAACCAATCCATGTCAAGAATAGACCAGGTATGGGTCTCAAATGAATTAACTCCAAGAATCTCGAAAATTGAAATTCAACCACGAGTGATTTCGGACCATAGTGCAATAAAATTTGAACTAAAGGGTTTTGAAGAAAGAACGTTTAGATGGAGAATAAACGACTATCTTCTAGATGATCAGAAAGTAGTAGAAAATGCTCAAAAGAACCTGTCGGAATATTTTGTAAATAACTGTAATAAGGGAACAAAAATGAGTACGGTCTGGGACGCCAGCAAAGCTGTGATGAGGGGCTTTTTCATTCAACAAAATGCCCTGAAAAATAAAAATAGGGAAAAGAATAAAAAGGAATTATTGAGACAAATAATGGAGAATGAACAAAAATTGATAAAAAAAACCAAATAACGAAAAGATAAGACAAAACATAAAGACTTTACAAACACAGTTTGCAATGATAATAAATAAGGAAGTAGAAGGGAATATAAAAAGAATGAAACAAAGAAATTTTGAATTTGCGAATAAATCAGGAAAATGGCTGGCGTGGCAGATAAAGAAAAGAAAAGAGCAGAATACAGTAAACAAAATCATCATTGAAGGTACGGAAATAGAAGACCCAAAAGAAATTAGAAAAGGATTCCTGGACTTTTATAGACAACTGTACAAAAACAAAGAAAAGAATAATATGAGGAAGATAGAAAGATTCTTAAAGGAAAAAGAAGTGCAGAAGATCCCGACGGAGAAAAAAGATAACTTGAATGCCCCAACTGAAATTGAAGAAATTAAAGAGGCGATAAGCGAATTGAGAAAGGGGAAAGCCCCAGGACCAGATGGATTCACAGCTAGATACTATAAGGAAATGAGAAGCACCCTACTTGTACCACTGAAAGAAGTTGTAAACAATATCTTGAAGAATAGGGAAATACCGGAAACTTGGAAAGAAGCCTTTATTACACTTATCCCAAAACAAGAATCGGACTTAACGCAAGTTAAAAATTATAGGCCTATTTCGCTGTTGAACACTGATTACAAAATCTTTGCAAGTGTATTAGCAAAGAGAATGAAGAAAGTACTGCAAGACCTTATACATAAGGATCAGGCGGGTTTCCTTCCTGGCAGACAGATGAAAGATAATATAAGAAATATAATAAATATAATAGAATATCTGAATGCCAGGAATGAGAAACAAGCCATGTTAATCTTTGTGGATGCGGAAAAGGCCTTTGACAATATATCATGGAACTTTATGTTAAAAAATTTGGAACATATGGACGTAGGTACGGATTTTTTAATGGAATAAAGGCAATATATACAGAGCAAAAAGCGAAGTTGATAGTAAACAATTATACAACGGAAGACATTAAAATAACAAAGGGTACAAGACAAGGATGCCCATTATCACCATTATTATTCATCTTGGTGCTGGAGGTTCTGCTAAAATCAATAAGAAAAAATGAAGAAATAAAAGGGGTGTCTGTAGGGAAAAATGAGTATAAAGTCAAAGCATTTGTGGACGATTTGGTAATGACGATAGAAGAGCCAGCAGGAAGTGTTAAAAGAACCCTAGAAGAAATAGAACAATTTGGTCAAGTTGCAGGTTTTTATTTAAACAAGAGAAAGACCAAAATTATTGCGAAAAATATGGACCAAGAATTAATAGAGGAAATGCAACAAAGTACAGGGCTGGAAGTGGTGAACAAAGTGAAATATTTAGGAGTATGGTTAACCCCCAAGAATATTGATTTGTTTCAAAATAACTATGTACCTGTTTGGAATGGGATAAAAAGGGATCTGGAGGTGTGGGGAAGATTGAAGCTATCTTTTTGGGGAAGGATATCTACGATAAAGATGAGTGTGCTGCCAAGGATGTTATTTCTATTCCAATCACTACCGATAATTAAAGGGGCATCAATTTTCAAAGAATGGCAAAAAAATAGTTTCAAGATACATCTGGCAGGGCAAGAAGCCAAGGATTCAGTTTAAGTTATTAACAGATGCGAGAGAAAGAGGTGGCTTCGCCCTGCCAGACTTGAAACTATATTATGAAGCATCATGCCTCTGTTGGTTAAAGGAATGGATTAAATTAGTGAATGGAGAGTTGTTAGATTTAGAAGGATTTGATAATAGATTCGGGTGGCATGCATATCTGTGGTATGAAAAGAAAAAATTCATAAAGGATTTGAAAACCACATCTTCTGAAGATCATTGATAGAGGTGTGGGAGAGGTATAAAAATTTGTTGGAACCAAGACTCCCCCATTGGCTTTCACCATTGGAAGTGATGAGTGTGAAAAAGATAAACATGAGGGGGAGGTGGATAACTTATGGAGAATTGATAGTAAGAGAGGGGGGGGAAATGGAAAATGAAGACTTATGAAGAGGTGAAAGAATTTGTTTATGATTGGTTGCACTACTACCAGATTAGTGAAATGTTTAAAAAAGACTGTAAAATGTGTGGATATGAAGGAAAAGAATCAAAATTTCAAATAGAGGTATTGAATAATGAGTATAAAAATTTGTCTAAAATGTATAGAATGTTGTTGGAATGGCATACAAAAGATGAAGAGGTGAAATCAGTAATGATACATTGGGCCAGAGACTTTGGTTATAATATACAATATGATGATTGGACGAAATTATGGAATGAAAGGTTAAAATTTACGGCGTGTACCGCGTTGAAGGAAAATGTAATGAAAATGGTATATAGATGGTACATAACGCCAGTTAAATTAGGTAAAATGTATAAAACATGTAACAAGTGTTGGAAATCTAAAGAAAAGAAGGAACTTTCTATCATATGTGGTGGGAATGCAAAAAGGTGAAAGGCTTCTGGGAAATGATATATAAGGAATTGAAAAAGATGTTGAGATATACATTTGTTAGAAAACCAGAAGCCTTCCTACTAGGATTGGTAGGTTATGAAATTAATAGAAAAGATTGTAAACTTTTCCAATACGCTGTAACAGCTGCAAGAATACTTCTGGCGCAAAGATGGAAGCAGGAAGAAATTCCAACTGTGGAAGAATGGAGAATGAAACTGACTGAATATGCGGAATTGGATAAACTGACTGGGAAGATTCGATATCAGAAAGACCAAAAGTTTATCGAGGACTGGGGGAAATTTACAGATTATCTGAAAAGCATATGTGATGCACAGACAACGCTTGTTGGTTTTGAAGAGTCTCTGTGAAAAATTAAGAAATATTGTAAAAAAGAAAGTAGGAGAAAGGAAGAGGAATGGTTAAAGGCAATAATAAGTTCAGAAATGCGTTAACAATAGAAATTTTAACAAAAGATTGGCAGAGAAACTGAGGGAAGTCAAAAATTGATGAATGTGAGAGTTAATATGAGTTGATTGTATAAAAATGTTTGGAAAATGAATAAAAAAATATTATTAAAAAAAACCCAAAAACAAAACACTAAGATCATCATGAAAGCTCACGGATGGTTCCATGCAGAGTGGCAGCATACCTTTCAGTAGTAGATCCTAGGAACAAATGATGGGATGGCTCTCACTTGCATTTCCCATCTGTGAAGTTCCACAGCCATGGATACAAAATGCTGGATCGATGGACTTTGATCTAGGTGGGCAAACTTTTGTTCTACTGAGGGCTGCATTTCATTGGGAGTAATTTATCAGGGGCTAAAGTAAACAGGGCAGAATCCTGCGGAGGGCAGGACCAGAGTCAAAAGTGTATAGCACAGCCCTTTTCCTTTTCTTTATCTTGCTGCCACACTCATTCTCTCTCCCCCCCTTTCCTTCTCATTCTCTCTACCCCTCATCCCTATCCAGCAAGATGCCACTGGAGGGACCAACTGCAAGTCTGAACTGGACTTCTGAAAGCTACAGGTTGCCTACACCTGGTATAAACGGGGTCTTTCTAAAAGCATTTATTATGATCTGCTGTCTGAATATCAGGGAAGAATCATAACAGGTTTGCAATTTAGAAGAAAATATGTGCTTGAAAACCAACCCATTCATTTCTGCTAAGGGATCAGGGATCATATGCTTTCTTTTTTGACTCAGTGACCCCAATTTTATGGCCTTTTTCATATGCATGCTGAATTCAAAATACCGCCAGTACTTAAACAAAACAAACACACACACACACACACCTCTTAACAGGCTTTTCAGTCATGTGAGGACAAAAGTCATATTCACAGTAACCTTAGTGCTCATTAGTGGAAAAAAGGGGAAAGCATGCATAATGTCAGCTAGCACCACGGCTGCAAGAAAATTAGAAGAAAGGCAACATTGTGTCTGAAGCTTATTAAACTGCAAACTTTTTCCTCAGCAATCAAGGCAGTGCATAGATGCAAATGAGACACTTACATAATGCTATTATACTTGAAGTGTGACTAAAAAGCTGGACTGATTAAGTTACTATGCAAGGTTTGGAGCTATTTTGCTTTCTCCCTTAAAGCAAAACATATTATGCATATTAACTGTTTAAAATGGACCATTCTGAAATTGCTCAGAACCAAATATTTCTACACTGAAGTGGCTCCCATTTTAAGTTTTGTTTATTTTTTCCTAAGCAGTAGCAGAGAGCTGAATGAACATCCTCTCTAAGCATCTTTTCAATTTCACAGGCTGGATTTCAGTCTAATCTCAGCAAGGCACAAGTGTGCCCAAATGGATTTATCAAACTGCACTGTGCATTACGTTACTCAGATTTCAACAGCCTATTGACAGTAAGACAATTTCTATTTTCAGACGAGTACTCTGCATCAACATGCATCATGTGTAACTAAGGTCATGGTCCCCCACACAATTGCAAATTAAATGTATGAACCTCACAGTTTACAATGGCCCTGTTAACTGTCGTGATAACCGGGGATGGACGTATGTGTCAAATCTTAGCTTCTCATTTTCTAATCTTAAAATAAGTTTGCCACATCTTCGTATCACTTTGTGAATATTATAGGTTACTGACTCATCCTTCACAACAAGGTCCCAAAACCGGTTACAACTATAATGTGTAATTTTACCTAATATGCACTTTTTGCAAGCAGTTTCCCCAAAGTGTAAAGCATTTTCACAAATTTGTTTTTTCTTCTTCCAAATTTCCCCTTGATATACACCCCCCTTTTTTTGTTAAACTGCATCACAAAATTCAGAAAAGCTTGTATTTCAAAGGAAAGATTGATTCAGTTATTTTTGGGAAGGCATGAATTAAGCAGGTTCACACCGAAATGCTCACCAAATTGAACTTCTCCCCTCATCTCTACTGATAATAACACTACTTTTAATAATGTCAACTCTGCTCTATGGAGAGATGGGTTTAAGAATCAGAATTTTGCCTATGTGAAAACTCAGCTTCCTTTTATAAACTGGGGGCCACAAGATCATCAGTAGTGGCTGAGTGGGAGGTATATGAACCCCAGTCTCCCAGGTCCAGCCCTCTAACCCAAACCACCACACTGGCTCTCAAATTGAAATCATTCGAGAGTAGGCGATATCTTATAAGAGTTAACATTTTTTAAAACTGTTTTTAAAAAATTTTTTAAGCTGAGCTTTAAATCGTGTTTTTAAAAATTATTTTCTTATAGTTTTATTGATTTATACTGCATTTTAATTTTACAGTCTCCCCACCCCACCCATTTTTGTCAGTCACCTAGAGAACGTGTTATGAAATGGCTATAAAAATATGGCTGTTTTTGTGTTGCTGGCATTGTTGTTGTTATGAATATAATCTCTGGCTATATTGATGCATTTGTTACTGAGAGGCACCCAGCAGGCATACGGCTGCGATGCTACTAAAATGAATATTTCTGATAAGATGGGTTAATTGTCAGAATAATTTGTGCAAGAGTAGCTGATTAATCCTTCCCCCGTGCCTCGCTGCAGATACTTTCATTTTCCTCATACCTTTAGCATTGCTCTATGAATGGCCCCCATTTTTTACACAATGTTCTGTTCTGATTACCATCTCCATCCCACAAATGAAAGTCTATAACAAGAGGAATTGGTATTACAGTGCTGCTATAATTCATTCCCTTGACAGAGACAGAAACGAGAACTGACAATGACACAAAGTAAATCCATTCCTATTCCAATGCCTCAGATTGCAACAGAAACCAGAAGATAGCATAATTTTAACCCATTCATATTGTGACAGAGATGAGAAATGGTTCAAAGCAAAGCCATCTTCTTTGACTTTAGAAATGCTCGTACCAGAAATGAAGATCAACACTAAGCTGGTATTTTTACAAGGCCTCACAACTACACATGTATCCCAGTGGCAGCTGGTGGGCTGGAGCTGCAGAGCTGGTCTCCCGACAGCAATGTTGCTGTGCTTCTCTAGACTGCACTGGGCAGTGATAGGGCAACAAATGAATCTTTGGCTGAACCAGGTCTCTCATGTCTTTGTTTAGATCAGTGGCGGATTTAGGGGAGCACAACCAGTTTGGTCACAATGGGTGTGAATCCTAGGGGGTGATGCAACTATTATATAGAATGGAAGGCGTCGGGTTGGGGGGCATAAAATTTTGGGGTGTCGCAGAGCACTGCTTAAATTTGAGATCCATCACTGTTGAGATTCCTGCATTGCAGGGATTGGGCTAGGGGTCCCTTCCAACTCTGATTCTACATCCACTCTAGTCTAGGTGGTCAAATATGCATTACAAAAAAACAGTAACCAGGAAATGCATCATCAAAAAAAGAGAATACAGATTTGTGTTAACATTTGCATGTGCTAGTTTATGCAAATTAGAAATATAGTACATCTCATCATAGTGAAGGAGACTATGGGGAGGTGACGTATCTGCCTGCTCAACCAAGTGTTGATGAGCAACTTTAAATCCCCTGCTCTCCCATTTTATGGAACTTTACCTTCAAACTGGCCTTGAACCACACTCCCCTTCAAGTAGAAGACTGGCAGACAGCCTAAGAGATACATAGACTTCCACCTTTCCACTGTTCAGTCTTCAGTTACTGGTTTTGCATGCAATGGATCAAGCGAAGGAAAAGTTATTGCACACTGGTTGTTTGCATTCCCGTGGGGGGGGGGGGAATGTGTTTTTACCATTGACAATGATCTTCAAAAACAAAACAAAACCAAGAGACCACACCCCAGGCAACAGGCTGCCAAAGCGTCAAGAGCAGATCCATACTGGGCATTTGACAAAAGATCATTCCCCTAGCTGTGTTACCACTGGGCATCTCTTTAAAGAGGTCTAAAGACTCTCTCAAGGCAAATCTAAAAAAAGTAGTATAAACACCAACAACTGGGAAACACTGGCCTGCAAGCACTCCAATTGGAGAAAAGCCTTTACCAAAGGTGTCATGGGCTTTGAAGACGCTTGAACTCAGGACACAAGGGGGAAACGTGCTAAGAGGAAGGCATGCTTGGCAAACCCTCACCATGATATCAACTCCCACCCAGAAACCTATGTCCCCACTATGGAAGGACGTGTGGATCAAGAACTGGCCTTATGGACTCACTGTTCAAACCATGTTCATGGAAAACAATCTTACTCGGTTCCGAGTGATTGCCAAAGAAGAAGACCACTAACCAGGAGTGCAGTGCAAAGATGGCCAGCTGATCAGTTAGCTGGGCTTTGCACATCAGCTGAAGCTGCCCATGTCCAATGTGCTTAAGTGGCAACGATAACGCGAAAATAATTTTGGGTGCTCGATGGGACTGATCATTTCTGTCAATCTGAAGAACTGTGAAGCATCTTCTGGAACAACAAAGTGAAAAATGTCCAGCTGTATACCAATTCCAACAGGAAGTAATATTTCAGAAGAGCTCAGCTTTGGAAAAAAGCACATGTTGGCACATAAAAGGAGGCACAGGAGAGCCTTCTAGCTACAAGAAAGCAACAACAGATTTTGCTACATATTTTAGCAGCGGCCCCACACCATGCCAGCAAATAAAAAAACTGAGAATAAAAGGAACAGAAATGATGCTTTATTTTACAGCTGATGCAAACAGCTGTGCCAGCTATGCCTATCTGAGGGAGGCATAGATACATATGCTTTCTATTGGTAATGATACTAATGTGCTACAGAGCATGGGCCACAGTAATCACCCTTATGATCAATGGCCAGTGAGCGCAAAATTTGGAGTGCAAAATTCTAGCCTCCAATTGATTCAGAGATAAAATACAGGAAAATCATGGGGGCTAACTTCTTTTTTATGTCGAGCCAAAAAAGAAGCTCCAAGCAAGCCTTCTATTTTGCCTGCAGCACTCCCAAAACTGAGCAGACGTAGAAAGCGGATTAGAAAAACGAGAGGATGAAAGGGCATTAGCATGATACAGAGAATATATCCTCCAAATGGAAAGAGTTACCACTACCTCCCAATA